GGGCTTTTATTTGAACAAACTTGGTAGACACTCATTAGAAGATGTTTCATGCTTAATATCTTAGCTCTAGCTCTTTGGGTTCTTTAAAAGAAGATTTTATAAGTTTTTACTATATGCATATAGGGGAAATCAATGACCCCCTGGGGCTGGGTCAATTTTGACCCCAGGGCTTTTATTTGAACAAACTTGGTAGATACCCATTACAAGATGTTTCATGGTAAATATCTTAGCCCTAGCTCTTTGGGTTCTTTAAAAGAACTTTTTTTAAGTTTTTTCTATCGGTTGCCATTGCAACCAGAGTTCTGCATGGAATTAAATTCTTTGAACAATTTTAATGGTGACCACCAAAGGAACATTCATGTGAAGTTTGGATGAAATTGGCTCAGCCTATTATGAGGAGATGTCATTTAAAGTAAAAGTTTAGGGACGACGGACGGACGACTGACGGACGGACGGACAAAGGACGGGCGACGGACGGCTGCCTGACGAAAAGCGATCACAAAAGCTCACTCTGTCACTTTGTGACAGGCGAGCTAAAAAGTCAAAAGAGGGAACAGATCCGCAGCCGTTTGACCAATTTAATGTAGTAAATGCTTAATAATAAACACCAACCTATTTAGTGTTTGATATTATTTTTATAAAACTTTCGATTTACTAGTCAGACAGATTGAATTTTTTCGATTTACCAAATTAAATGTATTATTATTCTATTGAAACCCTGCAATCCTTGAATGCAGTGACCCCAAACTCTATCCAAACTTGAAGGACCACCTTAGGTTCCTTGGTACGTAATATGTGACAGTGGTAAAACAATTCAAGGACTGTATGAGAAAGTGTAAAAAATCTGTTGTTAGAACAAGTGACATTTAACTTGTGACTCCCAGCACTGGACTGTCCAAGGTATGTTCCCTCCAAATAATAAAAAACATCAGTCTATAAATAAAGGCTGTATAAGCCAATGTGTAAAAATCTATTTTGGCACCCTTGACCATGACCCATTACCTCTTTCTCCAAATATGAAAGACATCTGTCTAGAAATAGAAGCTATATGGGCACAATTGTAAAAAAATATTTTAAGCACTGATGACCTTGACCCAACTGACCCCTAATCTAAAGGACGAAGACGTTATCATCCTTTCAAATATAAAAAACATCAGAAAAAAGGCTGTATAAGCAAATGTGTAAAAATCGAATATTTGCATCCTTGACATTGATACACTGATTCTATCTCAATCAAAAGGAAGAATATCATGCAAGTTATCTTTCTACCAAATATGAAATACATATGTCTATAAATAAAGAATGTATGTGCAAAAGTACAAAAATCTATTTATAGCACTTGTGACCTTGACCCACTGATCCCTACCTCAATCAAAAGACAGAATACCATGCAAGTTATCTTCCTACCAAAATATGAAATATATTTGTCAATAAATAAAGGCTGTGGAAGTGTAAATATCTATTTTTAGAACTGGTGATCTTGACCCAACTTAACACTAACTCCATCCAAAGGAGGAAACCTTAACTTTATATTCCTACCAAATATAAAATACGTCTGTCAATAGTATAATGTTAAAACACCTGTAAAATCTATTTTCGACATTGGTGACTTTGACCTTGACCCACATGACCCCTATCTAAACCCAAAGGAAGAGGACCTCCCTTTGAATGTTTGTATAAAACATGAAATACATTAACTTAAAAATAAAGCCTTATTGAGCTAAAATGTTTCAAAAAATTTTCACACCAGTGACCTTGACCTTAGAGACCCCTTACCCCACAAAAAATAAGAGGACAATTATAAGTATCCACCTACTAAATATGGAAGATATCATTAAATAAATAAAATTTAAGATAAATTCAATTTACCGGAATAGGTTCACCATACAAGGCCCTATTTTCAAAGTGAAAAAGGGAAATATCTGGAAAAATGGATGGCACAGTTATATACCTTGTCAGTATCATGTTCTTTCTATTAATAAGTAAGCGTGGAAATTATGAAGCCATTAATATAGACAGAACTTAAGATAAATCCAATTTGCCAGTTAAGGTTAACGATATTCATCTTCAAACTGTTTAAAAGGGCAATCACTTGGTTAAAATGGAAACCATAATTATGTAACTTGCCTAAATCAATACTTTATATTGATAAGTAAATGGCACATTACGAAGCCATATGTACGGGTAGAACTTAAGAAAAATCCAGCTTGCCGTTTAAGCTTAACCTCGTACGGACAGATAGACAGACGGACGGACGTTTGAATTACTATATGCCCGACTGCCAGCTTTTCAGCTAAGTTCAGCGTCCTAGAGGTAGAAGCGTTTTTGTTTTTTTTCATAATCATACATGTGTATGTCCTTTTGCATGACTTTACTGTATTTTTTAATCGTTTCCGTATTTATAATATATGTCACTAACTTTAAGCTTCTTGACTGCCGACATTAGGCTGTTAGATTGACAACTTAAGGTTGAAAGACTGATATCGATAGACTGTTAGAATATCTGGCTGCCGCCTCAAAATGCTAGGCTGCCGACGTTAGGCTTCTAGGGAGTTAGGCAAACTCTTTAGGCCCAGGTCGTCAGCATCTTAGGCTTCCTCTTCCGACTGCGAGGCAATTTGCGTCCTCAGTCTTCTAGGCCATCATTCTGCCATCTCAGGCAGCAAGGCCGTTAGGCTGTCTCTTCTGTTAGTTTTACAGACATGATTATACAAAACTATTTACAGAACAATTCCAATTTTGCAGTTTCATACAAAAGGTAGACAATTGTATAATTATCAATATGTACTTGCATAAGATCAGCTAAAACTCGAACGCAAACAATAAAGATGACAAATTGTAGCGCAGTTCCATATATAATAAAATCACTCGCTTTCAAACAGACATAATTCGTCTTGAGTAAGTAGATTTAATAATACAACAATAAAACTTGAGTTCAACATAAAATTACATCTTGCGACATTTAACGGTAGTGTTGCGACATTTAACGGTAAGGCAAATTGGTGCGACATTTAGCGTTACGGTTGCGACATTTAACGGTAGACGATTTGCGACATTTAGCGTTACGGTTGCGACATTTAGCGGCAACGGTGCGACATTTAGCGTCAAGTGCGACATTTAGCGGCGTTGCGACATATAACGGCGCCACAGGCACCAAAATTCCTGAAAGTCTGCGAATGTTCATCAAAAAGTCGCAAGACAATGAAATAGTCTATTTAAGGTCCCTAGAAGTCAAAAATATCATTATTTCTATTGGCACTAAAAATTCCTGAAAGTCTGCGAGTGCCTCAGAAGTGCCTAGAAGTCGAAAATGTCAATAAACGTTGGCAACAATAAATCCTGGAACTCAGAACCAGTCTGCCAGCTGAGCATTCCAGCAGAGCATATTAATACTATAATTTAGAATGCGCCGCAAGATTGCTTATCCAACAAAGCATTTTCACGCTATTTTTCAGAATGTTTTGTTAGGTTGCCTAACCAGCTCGGAATATAGCGCAATTTTAGTACTATATTTAAGAATGTCCCGCTATATTGCTTTGCCAGCTGAGCATTTTAGCAGAGCATTTTTACATTAAACATTGTATTTAGGAATGCCCTGTGTAATTTCTTAGCCAGCTAAGCTTTTCCAGCAGAGTATTTTTTACACTTTATTAAGGAATGTCCTGCTAGATTGCCTAGCCAGCTTAGCATTCTGGGTATTACAGAAGAACATTTTAACACTATATTTAGGAATGCACTGCTAGATTGCTTAGCCAGCTGAGCATTCCAGCAGAGCATTTGTACAATATTTAGGGATGCACTGCTTGATTTCCTAGTCAGCTAAGCATTCCATCAGAGCAGTTTTACACTATATTTAGGAATACCCTGCTAGATTTCCTAGGCAGCTGAGCATTCCAGCAGAGCATTTTAACACTATATTTAGGAATGCCCTGCTATATTGCCTAGCCAGCTTAGCATTCCAGCAGAGCATTTTTACACTATATTTCGTAATGCCCTGCTAGATTGCCAAGACAACTGAGTATTGCAGCAGAGCAATTATACACTATATTTAGGAATGCCCTGCTAGATTGCTTAGCCTTACGGAAAACTCTAGATGACGCTTCAGGCCATGATCTGTCTATATAACAGTTGAGTTAGTTATGTTATGACTGTTTTATCACATAAACTTTCAATTTGTATATTGCTTCCCTTAATGAATGAAATACCACACTCGAAACCTCGGTTACTTTTTATGGTACATGCCAATGACGAATTTGTGTTTTTCTTATTGTAAACACCGTGGCATTAGAGCCAATCAGAAGTATTGGTTCCTGGTTTGTTGGGTATAAACATTGCTGTAAATAATTGTGACGCGCTAGTACATAATGTATTGTCCCAACTGGCGTTAGATCAGCGTGAGAATTTTTTAATGACATGTCAAAAGATGGATTTTTAGATTTTAGATTTATTTCCATAAAAAGCGATTATTGTTATTTTCTTGGGGACTTGAAACGGATAATATTGCTAGTATAGCTACTCATGAAAATTGAAGTGCCTCTTATATAGCTAGCACCAACTTACATTCAGGAAAAATGATTAGAAGATTTATAAACGAGTACGTTTATGCACCAGACAAAACTTTTTCTAAACTAAAAGCCATATCCCCAGTACCATATTACCTATCCCAAATCTGAATAAATGCGGGTTTCCTTTCAGCCTAAATGTTGGTACAGGTCAATGATCCTTGTGTTTTCTATGAGTTTTTGGGGTTTTATGGGAGTCCATAAAATAAGTTTACCGGTGACCAGTATGTAATTTTTACTTTTGAACAAAATGTAAAAAGATATATGCCTATAATGCATCCTCTTTACAAGGCAATCCAAGGACCATAGTTTTATAATTTTTGGAGGGAAGTCAAGATTGTATAAATGCATAGTTGTATATCATTAAAAATGTCTCAACACTTCATTTAGGATTTTTTTATTCTTTAACATTAATCTACCTCTTTCTTTTATAGTACCGGGGATTCGGACAATCTACGAGGCCTTTCAGATATTTACCTAACCGCCTTTATAGCTGCAAAAGATCCCACGTGCAATCAAGTTGTTGATTGTTCAAAAGAAAGTAACTTTGTTGATGGTAAAGAATTTAGAACCATTGACGGGTCATGTAACAACAAGAAACACTTCTCTTGGGGTTTCGCAGGGGCCCAGCATATAAGGCTACCTGAAAATAACGCATATCAAGACGGTATTGTAAACGTATGTCAGGATGGGGAAAATAAATACAATTCTTATACAGTTTTCTAAGTTTATAACAAGTATTTCGGCAACAACAGTGTCTAGTGAGTTAATAATACTGGATATAAATACATACCAACTTACAAGTTTGGATAACAATGTCGTTTGTAAGAATGTTTGCTGTATTTGAACTTTGGCGGTTTTAAAACTTCATTTACATTACTTGGAGGTCAAGACCGAAGTGACAACATTTGTTGGATTCCGACTTTTATAAGGTTCGATGTTTGAAATCCACCAATGAAACAACAGAAATCCGGAAATCCTCCAATGGACAGACGGCCTGATTTCTGAATCTGGAATCTTGGATTTCAGTGGCGGCCATATTAAAATCTCATATAAAATCTACATAGGAAAATCATTAATATACAGAAACATGTAGTGAATACTTAAGGATTTCTGACCTTAATCAATCATAAACTGTACATAAATTACGTTCTTGAATTGAATTCGACTGAAATTGACATTAACAATAAGAAATCTTAAATACAAAATATGAAGTGACGGATTTCAAACATGTCTGTCATTCGACGTCTGCTACACAAAAATGTAAAGAGAAAATCAGTTATCTGCTATATATATAAGGTAAGTTTAACAATTTTATCAGCTTAAATTGCAAAGTCAATAAGTGTTAATACAGTGTTCCTTCAGATCAATCAGGTAAGTGAATCTTGTTATTGTAGAAGTCAACAAATTATGGAGCTATAGGATTTCACAATGTCACTTGGATTTCATTAAAAGTTCTGTTGTAAGTACATTTCAGAATAATGCTAGAATGTCAGATCCTTACACACCCCCTCCCTAAGTCTTTAAGACTGATATTCCCTGAACTTTTTATACTGTCCGAAATAGGTACTAGACCACAAAATATTTATGATTTATTTCACAGTTAGTTAAAACTTCTGCTGTTCTGTAATTATTATTACTTTATGTAATTATATTATATGAAAAGTTTATTTAATCAGATAATGTAAATGTCCTCAGTCTTATTGTAGTTTTAATGTCATGCTTAATTATTTTATTCAATTCCTCGGTGTTGATTCTTCAGATGCGGAAAGGTCAAGATATTATTCAGATGCGAATTTTAACACCAGCAGTTTGTTTCAATATATCTTCCAATTCTTAAGAGTGTGATGCTGCTTCAAGCTGATACATGTATGTGTCTTACCAAGTTTTGACTATTTCTTTAAGCTTCAAAGATGTTTCAAATAGTAACCTAGATGGATGATACTCGCGTGGTAGTGGTTTGTTTGGAAGCAATTAATATGTATATTTATAACATACAGCATACATTCATACACAATTACTTTAGATTGAATACTTTATATCTCCTAGTCCATTTTAAAGCATTGGACAAATTTCTGATAATCTCCTTATTCTGGATACTGTTTTTCTAACCCAATGTCTACCAGTCATTAAGTTTCCCACAGAATACAGCAGCTTCACATTATAGAATCACACACGTTAAGACCAGACTCTCATGGCCATTAACACACGTGACATCATCCTAATGAAGTCACAATTGTCATCTCATCGTAATCCCTGGGTGATCAGGCCAGCATTACCGTGTCCCGCTTTCCACTCCTCCAAAATTATTTTTATCATCCGTGAAAGGTGTTGTTATCTATGGTCATTCTTAATACACTTTTAGCATAGCAGGTATTCTTTCTTTTGTTGTGCCCATCTGAGATATGCATGTATTACATGTAGGTTTACAGGCTACCATGCTTACTTTTCCAATTCTAAAAATATATATAGGTCACCTATTGAAGTGCAAGTTCCAAAGTCACTATTTTGTTTGATCACATGATGGTCCATATAGTTTGTTCCATTCGCTTGAGTGCATGACGAGTCCTTTAACACAACACTATCTACTGTTTGAAGAGAATTTTCTTTGTAATTAGATTTAAAAAAAATAAACTGGCAACATAAAGTTTTTGTTTGGTACCTCTACCATAACCCACATTGATGTTTGTACTTTTTCGGATACAATAACTTAAAAAGCAGAACAATTATCTGAATGTGTACCTGTCCATTGTTGGATATTACCATCTAAAATATTAAGTCTCTGATTTTCTATATCAGTTGTTTTCACATTTTTTCATTAAAAGTCTTGGTCAATGATGCCATGGGAATGTGAGTTTTGCTACTTGTAACCCAAAACACTTTCATACGTTTGTATAATGCTGACAGCATGATCTATAGTACTACAGTTTTTTCGATGCACTTATACTGAAGCTCAGGACACAGGTTATTGTACAATTGATCTAAAGCCATTCGCTCCTGTGCATTGTAACTCAGATCAGAATATGCTTTGCGTCCAAGTTCGGAGAGAGCATCTGCAAAAGACGCAATAGATTCTGTTTGACCTCGTTTTCTTGCTTTCAGAGAAGATACCCACACTGGTTGATCATACTTGTTGGTAAATATATTTCGCAAGGCCTCAACCAGGTTGCGATAGCTTGATTTAATGTCAGTAGGAAGTCTTGAAATAAACACTTGGGCTCTTCCCGTCAGACAGGGCCTTAAGGCTAAATTCATGCTATGTAAGTCCCAGCATCCTAATTCGGCATTTATTTCAAAATGATCTATGAATTCTTCAAAATTTTCATCGCCACTAAACGATTTAAGTTTAAAATTTGGTCCTCTTGGCAACGTTTTCCTGGAAAGTCCATTATGTCTGTCATAGTGTTTCGTCCACTTCGATGGTCTACCCCTTGAAGGGGGACTTCGGTCCTGACCTGCAAGCTGCTATTCATCACTTGTGTCATACTCGTCCAATAGTGAATCAGCTCTTTCAGTTTCAATATGAAGGTGTGGCGCTCCACCACCCGGCCTTTCACCATTCAAAGCTCTGTTGTTAATATTCTGACAAAATTTTATTTCAGAATCTGAAGAGTCTGCCATAATGTTTGTTAATCCAATGTAAATTCTGTTTAAATCTCTATTTACTGTTAGTCATAGATATACGAGTACAGTTTATTCAAGGAATAAAATAATGTTGTTGTCAGTTCATTTGTATGTTTCTCACAAAATAAAATTTTCTTCACCAGTTGAAGTGTTATTTTTTTTCTTATGGATGGATGGATGGATGAGATGCACTTGTCTGGTCCGTTTTATAGGATGGTAAATAATTTAGACCATCCCATTACTTCTGACACCATTGTAAACGTATGTCAGGATGGGGAAAATAAATACAATTCTTATACAGTTTTCTAAGTTTATAACAAGTATTTCGGCAACAACAGTGTCTAGTGAGTTAATAATACTGGATATAAATACATACCAACTTACAAGTTTGGATAACAATGTCGTTTGTAAGAATGTTTGCTGTATTTGAACTTTGGCGGTTTTAAAACTTCATTTACATTACTTGGAGGTCAAGACCGAAGTGACAACATTGGTTGGATTCCGACTTTTATAAGGTTCGATGTTTGAAATCCACCAATGAAACAACAGAAATCCGGAAATCCTCCAATGGACAGACGGCCTGATTTCTGAATCTGAAATCTTGGATTTCAGTGGCGGCCATATTAAAATCTCATATAAAATCTACATAGGAAAATCATTAATATACAGAAACATGTAGTGAATACTTAAGGATTTCTGACCTTAATCAATCATAAACTGTACATAAATTACGTTCTTGAATTGAATTCGACTGAAATTGACATTAACAATAAGAAATCTTAAATACAAAATATGAAGTGACGGATTTCAAACATGTCTGTCATTCGACGTCTGCTACACAAAAATGTAAAGAGAAAATCAGTTTTCTGCTATACATAAAAGGTAAGTTTAACAATTTTATCAGCTTAAATTGCAAAGTCAATAAGTGTTAATACAGTGTTCCTTCAGATCAATCAGGTAAGTGAATCTTGTTATTGTAGAAGTCAACAAATTATGGAGCTATAGGATTTCACAATGTCACTTGGATTTCATTAAAAGTTCTGTTGTAAGTACATTTCAGAATAATGCTAGAATGTCAGATCCTTACAGTATGTACTTTTCATTGTTTGTAGGTTTGTTTGTCTGTTTGTTTACGCAATTTGAAGCATATTTGTGTCATGTTTTGGAGGTTGGTCCACATGACAGGCAATTCTGGATAATTTACCAGTAATTACTAAATCGTTCCGGTCCATATGCTAATGTCACGTGTTACTGCCATGAAAGACAATTGAACACAAGACCCATGGTCCGAGATCTTATATCACGCGGACAATTCGCCCTGAGATGTACCTTAAAAATAGAAAAGAAGTATTTCAAATGTTAAATACCTGCATGTCTTCTGATTTGATGTGTATTATTTATTAGGTCACAGGTAATGTATTGTTTAGTTTCTTTTAGTACTTTTTATAATTATATAATATTTCATTTGATTTAACCATTCTTATTGTTGTATTAAAGCATTTGATTAAAATAATTTTTGTATTCATAAATACTATTGTGGCTAGTTTGTGCCATGTCGTATTTTTGCTCAGCGGGGCGCCAGAGAAAAACAGGAATATGCGTTAATACCCATGTGTCCCAGTTTTACACTATATTTAGGAATACCCTGCTAGATTTCCTAGGCAGCTGAGCATTCCAGCAGAGCATTTTAACACTATATTTAGGAATGCCCTGCTATATTGCCTAGCCAGCTTAGCATTCCAGCAGAGCATTTTTACACTATATTTCGTAATGCCCTGCTAGATTGCCAAGACAACTGAGTATTGCAGCAGAGCAATTATACACTATATTTAGGAATGCCCTGCTAGATTGCTTAGCCTTACGGAAAACTCTAGATGACGCTTCAGGCCATGATCTTTCTATATAACAGTTGAGTTAGTTATGTTATGACTGTTTTATCACATAAACTTTCAATTTGTATATTGCTTCCCTTAATACATGAAATACCACACTCGAAACCTCCGTTACTTTTTATGGTACATGTCAATGACCAATTTGTGTTTTACTTAGTGTAAACACCGTGCCATAAGAGCCAATCAGACGTATTGGTTGGATATAAACATTGCTGTAAATAATTGTGACGCGCTAGTATTATCCCAACTGGCGTTTAATCAGCATAATTTTTTTTAATGACATGTCAAAAGATGGATTTTTAGATTTTAGAATTATTTCCATAAAAGCGATTATTGTTATTTTCTTGGGGACTTGAAACGGATAATGTTGAAAGTATTGCTACTCAAGAAAAATTTATAATAGAAGTGCCTCTTATATAGCTAGCACCAAATTACATTCAGGAAAAATGATTAGAAGATTTATAAACGAGTACGTTTATGCACCAGACAAAACTTTTTCTAAACTAAAAGCCATATCCCCAGTACCATATTACCTATCCCAAATCTGAATAAATGCGGGTTTCCTTTCAGCCTAAATGTTGGTACAGGTCAATGATCCTTGTGTTTTCTATGAGTTTTTGGGGTTTTATGGGAGTCCATAAAATAAGTTTACCGGTGACCAGTATGTAATTTTTACTTTGAACAAAATGTAAAAAGATATATGCCTATAATGCATCCTCTTTACAAGGCAATCCAAGGACCATAGTTTTATAATTTTTGGAGGGAAGTCAAGATTGTATAAATGCATAGTTGTATATCATTAAAAATGTCTCAACACTTCATTTAGGATTTTTTTATTCTTTAACTTTAATCTACCTCTTTCTTTTATAGTACCGGGGATTCGGACAATCTACGAGGCCTTTCAGATATTTACCTAACCGCCTTACACACCCCCTCCCTAAGTCTTTAAGACTGATATTCCCTGAACTTTTTATACTGTCCGAAATAGGTACTAGACCACAAAATATTTATGATTTATTTCACAGTTAGTTAAAACTTCTGCTGTTCTGTAATTATTATTACTTTATGTAATTATATTATATGAAAAGTTTATTTAATCAGATAATGTAAATGTCCTCAGTCTTATTGTAGTTTTAATGTCATGCTTAATTATTTTATTCAATTCCTCGGTGTTGATTCTTCAGATGCGGAAAGGTCAAGATATTATTCAGATGCGAATTTTAACACCAGCAGTTTGTTTCAATATATCTTCCAATTCTTAAGAGTGTGATGCTGCTTCAAGCTGATACATGTATGTGTCTTACCAAGTTTTGACTATTTCTTTAAGCTTCAAAGATGTTTCAAATAGTAAACCTAGATGGATGATACTCGCGTGGTAGTGGTTTGTTTGGAAGCAATTAATATGTATATTTATAACATACAGCATACATTCATACACAATTACTTTAGATTGAATACTTTATATCTCCTAGTCCATTTTAAAGCATTGGACAAATTTCTGATAATCTCCTTATTCTGGATACTGTTTTTCTAACCCAATGTCTACCAGTCATTAAGTTTCCCACAGAATACAGCAGCTTCACATTATAGAATCACACACGTTAAGACCAGACTCTCATGGCCATTAACACACGTGACATCATCCTAATGAAGTCACAATTGTCATCTCATCGTAATCCCTGGGTGATCAGGCCAGCATTACCGTGTCCCGCTTTCCACTCCTCCAAAATTATTTTTATCATCCGTGAAAGGTGTTGTTATCTATGGTCATTCTTAATACACTTTTAGCATAGTAGGTATTCTTTCTTTTGTTGTGCCCATCTGAGATATGCATGTATTACATGTAGGTTTACAGGCTACCATGCTTACTTTTCCAATTCTAAAAATATATATAGGTCACCTATTGAAGTGCAAGTTCCAAAGTCACTATTTTGTTTGATCACATGATGGTCCATATAGTTTGTTCCATTCGCTTGAGTGCATGACGAGTCCTTTAACACAACACTATCTACTGTTTGAAGAGAATTTTCTTTGTAATTAGATTTAAAAAAAAATAAACTGGCAACATAAAGTTTTTGTTTGGTACCTCTACCATAACCCACATTGATGTTTGTACTTTTTCGGATACAATAACTTAAAAAGCAGAACAATTATCTGAATGTGTACCTGTCCATTGTTGGATATTACCATCTAAAATATTAAGTCTCTGATTTTCTATATCAGTTGTTTTCACATTTTTTCATTAAAAGTCTTGGTCAATGATGCCATGGGAATGTGAGTTTTGCTACTTGTAACCCAAAACACTTTCATACGTTTGTATAATGCTGACAGCATGATCTATAGTACTACAGTTTTTTCGATGCACTTATACTGAAGCTCAGGACACAGGTTATTGTACAATTGATCTAAAGCCATTCGCTCCTGTGCATTGTAACTCAGATCAGAATATGCTTTGCGTGCAAGTTCGGAGAGAGCATCTGCAAAAGACGCAATGGATTCTGTTTGACCTCGTTTTCTTGCTTTCAGAGAAGATACCCACACTGGTTGATCATACTTGTTGGTAAATCTATTTCGCAAGGCCTCAACCAGGTTGCGATAGCTTGATTTAATGTCAGTAGGAAGTCTTGAAATAAACACTTGGGCTCTTCCCGTCAGACAGGGCCTTAAGGCTAAATTCATGCTATGTAAGTCCCAGCATCCTAATTCGGCATTTATTTCAAAATGATCTATGAATTCTTCAAAATTTTCATCGCCACTAAACGATTTAAGTTTAATATTTGGTCCTCTTGGCAACATTTTACTTGAAAGTCCATTATGTCTGTCATATTGTTTTGTCATCTTTGATGGTTTACCCCTTGGAGGGGGACTTCGGTCCTGACCTGCAAGCTACTATTCATCACTTGTGTCACACTCGTCCAATAGTGAATCAGCTCTTTCAGTTTCAATATGAAGATGTGGCGCTCCACCACCCTGCCTTTCACCATTCAAAGCTCTGTTGTTAATATTCTGACAAAATTCTATTTCAGAATCTGAAGAGTCTGCCATAATGTTTGTTAATCCAATGTAAATACTGTTTAAATCTCTATTTACTGTTAGTCATAGATATAAGAGTTCAGTTTATTCAAGGAATAAAATAATGTTGTTGTCAGTTCATTTGTATGTTTCTCACAAAATAAAATTTTCTTCACCAGTTGAAATGTTTTTTTTTATGGATGGATGAGATGCACTTGACTGGTCCGTTTTATAGGATGGTAAATAATTTAGACCATCCCATTACTTCTGACACCATTGTAAACGTATGTCAGGATGGGGAAAATAAATACAATTCTTTTATAGTTTTCTAAGTTTATAACAAGTATTTCGGCAACAACAGTGTCTAGTGAGTTAATAATACTGGATATAAATACATACCACTTACAAGTTTGGATAACAATGTCGTTTGTAAGAATGTTTGCTGTATTTGAACTTTGGCGGTTTTAAAACTTCATTTACATTACTTGGAGGTCAAGACCGAAGTGACAACATTGGTTGGATTCCGACTTTTATAAGGTTCGATGTTTGAAATCCACCAATGAAACAACAGAAATCCGGAAATCCTCCAATGGACAGACGGCCTGATTTCTGAATCTGAAATCTTGGATTTCAGTGGCGGCCATATTAAAATCTCATATAAAAATCTACATAGGAAAATCATTAATATACAGAAACATGTAGTGAATACTTAAGGATTTCTGACCTTAATCAATCATAAACTGTACATAAATTACGTTCTTGAATTGAATTCGACTGAAATTGACATTAACAATAAGAAATCTTAAATACAAAATATGAAGTGACGGATTTCAAACATGTCTGTCATTCGACGTCTGCTACACAAAAATGTAAAGAGAAAATCAGTTTTCTGCTATACATAAAAGGTAAGTTTAACAATTTTATCAGCTTAAATTGCAAAGTCAATAAGTGTTAATACAGTGTTCCTTCAGATCAATCAGGTAAGTGAATCTTGTTATTGTAGAAGTCAACAAATTATGGAGCTATAGGATTTCACAATGTCACTTGGATTTCATTAAAAGTTCTGTTGTAAGTACATTTCAGAATAATGCTAGAATGTCAGATCCTTACAGTATGTACTTTTCATTGTTTGTAGGTTTGTTTGTCTGTTTGTTTACGCAATTTGAAGCATATTTGTGTCATGTTTTGGAGGTTGGTCCACATGACAGGCAATTCTGGATAATTTACCAGTAATTACTAAATCGTTCCGGTCCATATGCTAATGTCACGTGTTACTGTCATGAAAGACAATTGAACATAAGACCCATGGTCCGAGATCTTATAACACGCGGATAATTCGCCCTGAGATGTACCTTAAAAATAGAAAAGAAGTATTTCAAATGTTAAATACCTGTCTTCTGATTTGATGTGTATTATTTATTAGGTAACAGGTAATGTATTGTTTAGTTTCTTTTAGTACTTTTTATAATTATATAATATAATTTTATTTGATTTAACCATTTTTATTGTTGTATTAAAGCATTTGATTAAAATAATTTTTGTATTCATAAATACTATTGTGGCTAGTTTGTGCCATGTCGTATTTTTGCTCAGCGGGGCGCCAGAGAAAAACAGGAATATGCGTTAATACCCATGTGTTACATTTTCAGGTAAATCTAAAATTCGATCAAAAAGAGTTAAAGAAATATTTTATTAATAAATACTATGGTGGTTAATTTGTGCCATGTCGTACTCTTGCTCGGCGGGCGCCAGAGAAAAACAGGACAATAGCGTTTGCCTTACATGTGTTTCAATTTCAGGTAAATCTAAAATTCGATCAAAAAGCGTTAAAGGCGGGAATTTACCTTCTGCTCGTAGAGTGAGTAACCTGTTCACAGTACACCAACACCGAAAGGGGACAACACTCAAGATATTTCCATAGCTTTATTTTACTTCATGCAGTTCATTGATCACGACCTTGCCAAAACCCCAGAAGGTAGGAAAAAATGTGTACACGCTAAATATCTAAAATGGACTTGCCCGTGTTTTGATCTTGACAAAAACCTTTCATCATTTGAGAGGAAAATTTCAGAATAAATACTGATTGAATAGTGGACAGTGCAGATCACTATGATCTTGGTCTGCATTTGTTGCAAAAGGTAGAATGTATTGGCGTTAGCAGTCTAAGTTTAACATTTTCCTGAAACCGTTTCTTCAAAGAAATATATATCTTCTGTCAAGTCATGCCAAACCCTTAATTTATACTAGTATATTTTCTTTAAAGGTCAATAATGTCTCAGAAATGCACTGATTTTTATTTCTCCAAAGCTTTTTAATTTTGGTGTACTTCTATAGTACCAAATATTTACTCATTGGCTAATTATCTGAACCGTCTTTTTCATCTTTCGAATTTTGTCAATAAAAACATTAATTGTGAATACGCATGTTGTATGGGAGTCAAAATACTACTTTGTTTACATTTTGCTACTTTTATGACAAGTTATTTCACAATTATCACTGCTTTCTTCAAGTTACACGTATCTAACATAATATTGATACATTATTATCATAATAAAGTTCATGTTTTCCCTTTCTAAAAAAGTAAAGAAAAATATTTGTTTCTGAGGCATTATGTGCCTTTAAAGTAGTCCTTTAAAACACATTTTCATTTATCTTTTTCAGGACATGTAAGGAATAGGAAAGAGTGTTGCAAGAAGCCTGACAAGACTAGGTAAGATGACAAATTTTATAGATAAAATAATTTTTCAATTAATTTAAATCAATTTGCAAATAAAATAATAAAAGATAAAAAAATATGCTGCATAATTATTAATTGATCTTATTTTTTTATTATTAGTCGCCGGTAGAAACCGGCGACTATATTTGTAACAGTTTAATATTATACCTATGGTAGGAGAAGGCATTAATTTCTGTAAATAAAAGCATATCAGTTACTGAACAATTAAAGACTACAATTGTTTTCAGTAATCTCAAAAATTCAAACATACAATAATGTTGCTAAATGAAATGAAATATTCAAATATTGACATCGTAAAAAGCAACATTACAATTTTTATAAAATGAATTAATGACGTATCCCTATGGACCAGTCATTGAATTTAGAATGCTTTTACTTTTTTAAAGTGTCAAGCCTTGCTATTTTATGATAAATAAATCATGCATGATATTTGAAATGACACTTTTAAATTATCTGGTTGTTTGTATCTTATGAGACCTATTCTATTTTTTTATCTTATTCATCATAAACAGTTTCTCCCAGAATCACGTGACTACACGTTGTATGTTATTGTTATAAAATCTATTAATAGTAACAAATGACAGACATACAGGTAACTTGTGAATGGTTGGCAGCTGATAAAGTGCAAATCAAAGTAATTTTGTATATGACAGTAGGGGCCGGAATCGTATTATATACAAAGAGAAAACTAATAAACCATCTTTGTGTTGATAGTTTATCGCACTGAAAGACAATTAAACGTTAACTTTATCGTATGTAACGACAGGAATTTTTTCGATAGTGCATAAGAATAATTTGTTTTATGCAGACACCACTTTTACAGTAGAATTGCATTGTTCTATGCAATAATTAAGCATATATATTTTCATAGTCACTTTGCAAATATTCGATGATCGGATGCTGAAGAAAACCATACGGAGTTCAAATGTATGGTACAACGGTATATGTATGAAGTAGAATTACAAGTAGAATTATAATCATATCACTTGTTTTACAAGCCTCGATAACAAGGTGTAAGATTTTAAGGTGTTGGATTTTTAGTTTCAAATTGAAGACTGTAGGTTCGATAAAGTGATTTTTTATGTTTTCTTTAATAATACTTTTTGCATTTTGCAAAACTTGATCGTTTATCAAAATTATTAAAAAAGTGCTAAAAATGAAACACACGATTTATCAACTTATGTTTCATAAAGTTAAAAGATATAATAAAAATCAATTTATGAAAACTACACACAGGTTTTGTCCGAGATTCGAACTTGCGCCTACTGCATGTAGGTTACATCTTCGTCATACTTACCACTAGGCCATCGAGCAGTAATAATTGATATAATTATACATGTAATTATACTTACAATAAAATCGTTAACATTAGTCATAATAAGTTATGTAAGCAAACGAAACAGCTCCCGAAAATTATTGAGTCTCGGGTAAATATTGCCAAACAATACTTGCTTATTTAATAATGATAACAGTTTCTTGACAAAATTGCTAAGCAAGTTTGCTTCAAATATGATGTTTTATTATAACATAACATAAGTTTATTGCATAAAACTCAGCAAAGAAAGATATAATTGTGGCAAGTAAATGAAAACGTGTTTATGAAAAAACATTACTCAACTCATTGTTCCTCTTTTCTTTATACTCGAATCATTAAACTGATATTTTCTTTTATTTATGAAAATACAATCATATTTCTATCCGGCGACTTGATGCTTTAGCATCAAAATCTCTACTTGTTATTTATAGAGAGGGACATTGGTAGTTGAAATATTATTAATTCGTCTTTAAGACGTTTGACTGTATTAAATTTTGCGTGCTATATAGCCGTCGCAAGTAGGATATTCGGGTTATATAAACCTTCATCCAATTTTATGGAATAGAAAGAGCACCGAAACACGAGGCTATCTGATTTGTACAGGGGGCGTAGCCCCCGAGTATAAATCAGATTGCCGAGTGTTTTGGTGTTCTTTCTCTTTTGTATCATAGTCAAACATAAAAACACGTTCCCTGTTGTCACAATTTTAAACCCCGGGAAAAAGTAACCAATGATCGAGCATCTGAATATGATATTTCTGCCGCTTTCCCTTTCTCTGCCGTCACAATATGTAAACCCCAGCAAAAATGAGCCAATCAACGGGCATGATCTGGAGTGCGGGTAACTGATACCTGCACTCCAGTTACTGCACTGTGCATGTATATGTATACGATTTAACTTTTTCAACAGAAAGGTCCCCAAACTATGATACAAATGGACTATATAATACTGCACGTTTGTAACGCCGCTATTTAGAAGATTATGGAGACGTTAAAATATTAGTTATGTGCAATATACTTATATACTATGGTGGCTGATTTGTGCCTTGCAGTATTTTCGCCTATTGGGACGCCGCACGAACTCACGCAAGTACGAGAGTCATTTTTTGTCATACTTTCACTTCGCGGAGCGAAAAGACAAAAACACGATAATACGACAAAGCGGTGTCCAATGTCGTAATTTTGTGTTTTCGCATAGTGCCTTGAGAAGGAAAAATACATGGCACAAATCAGCCACCATAATAAACACATTATCGTCAATTTATGAAGTAATTTCTTTTTCAGTTTTCTTTCTAAAATAAAAGAAATATACAAATTTGTCATTAAGCTTCTTATCATGCTATATGACCATATATACTTAATAAACGGCTGTTTTTAATCTAAAAGATAATAAGGCTATTTAACCTGTCAAAAATCTTGACAACTAATACTGCAGTAATATAACCTGCTACAAATAATTATAACGTAAAACACTAGAACATCATTTAGTTGTTAGTAATGCCAAAAATTCATTTCTTAATGTTAAAAAACACAAATGACAAAGTCCTACTTAGGAGTAATAAACATCTAATTAGGCTTTTTTATCTCCTACATAGGAATTATCTTTTTATAGAACATGTTAAATTGGTACCTAGACAGTTCCGTAGTAATGCTATATAAGTACTGTGTGTATGAATTTACATACTATTTTCAGAAAATATTGTCTCCCGGTTACTTTTGAAGATCCAGATGAGAAGTTTTTCGCAAAAGATTATTGTGTTGAGGGTCGAAGGAGTTTCACATTGTTTCAATGTGACAGTAAGGCTATTAATGAAACTGTAGTATCAAAATTTTATTATTATTTTTTTAAGCGTCTTTTTCTAATAAAGTCTGGTCTATTCAACGGGACACAATATATCGGTAGTGTAAAAAAGCAATTTTAGAAAAAAAACATACCTTATAGGTACAAAGGTGCCAAATTTTCTGATTTTCACAAGTTCACCAAGATCAAATTTCATGCTAATTAAAAGTAAAATATATATCAAGTGCTAAACATCGTATCTTAACGCTGATAACTACACTGGTGACCAGGCTCAAACAGATCAAATGAAATATCGAAAGCAACTATTTCTTCATTTTCTTCATTCAAAATTAATATTAGTCGGTCTCTTTAAACATTCGTTGGTTATACAATGCGACACTCGAACTAGTAGTTGCACTAAGACCCTGAAGGGATCAGAACCGTAATTCTTTTAGCTGTTTCTTCATGGATTAGTATGTGTTATTGACTGATAGTAATGATAATATAAATGTCTAAATGTCTTTACTTTTGCAACATTGTCAAATGAGCTAAAAAGGGGGTGTAGCGTCCGTGGCCGAGTGGTTAAGGTCGTTGACTTCAAAACACTTGCTCTCACTGCTGTGGTTTAGAATCCCAAAAAGGAGTTTGGATTCTTTCATGTGCTAACTTACAGAACGTCAATGGTTTTACTAATGTGCCATTTCGTGCCTGAAATAATCCACGCAAGGTCTTTTTCCACCAGTAAAGCTCGAACGTCGCCGTTACTGTGTCGGTGTGACGTAGAACCCAATCAAACAAACAAACACACAGATACAAAAGCAAAATGCAGGTATACTTTTGACCACCAAACACTTTATGCCTGCAGTTGTATTTCAAAAAAAAATATGTTTACAGTTGTATTTCAAATAATTGTTTAATTTTGCATGTATGTTTAAATTGAATCTATTATAATTATTAGATAGTGAAGTGGAGAATCAGATTAACGAGATTACGTCATATCTGGATGCAAGTATGGTTTACGGGTCCAGCCAAGAGGAAGAGCATACCCTCCGGACATTTATTGGTGGTAAATATGCCAAGTCCCACATTTTTACCATTTGTCCAGTTTCCATCAGATTTATTTAAGCTAAGATTTTAAACAATTTCTAGCAAATTATAATTATCATTTTTGAACCTGTTTGTCGGAACTAACGACAGTCTGTGATATAAGACAGAACTTGGTCGTGATCCCTGCAGGATTCGAACCAACAAGCGTTATGCTGATCGGCAGACGCCATTAACTTTATGCCACCGCTCTCCTATAGGCTTCTTGTATTTCTTGAACTACAAGGATAATTATATAATATTAGCAACCTGAGACAAGGCTATATTAAAGGTTGCTAATATGCACAATTCCGCCGAGGTTATTATTTCAGTTCAAGGATTGCTAAGATGAGCTTTTAGCCTGAGAGACTTGAATGTGTTATCTTTTATCATACCGAACTAATTTCTAAATATAACTTTTCACCGCTCCGAGAGTCATTCATCATTGATTTTATAGGGGGAGAGAACTAGGACATGACGTTTTCCTAAGTCTCTATAGATCACTTGCCCCTGGGGAATATTGCAGGGTGATATTTATTTCCAGGATGATATATATCGAAATAACACCATGTGCCATCAAATTAGGCTACATAATAGTAAAATGTTTATAAATGTGAGGTTTAATAAAATTCTTGTACTTTTAAATCTGCTGAGTATAATATGTCTATATTCGAATACTTGTATAACCCTAGCATACGCCATAAACACCCTTTAAAACTTTAGTAAGCATCATCAAGCATCGTAGTATACTTTACGATTGGGCAATATATATAATTATAGGACAATATATGTTTTATTTTAAAGGACTTTTAGAGCAGAGTACCAATGAATTACTCCCAAACTCGTCACGTGGTTTCGAACTGCCGTGTAATACTACCACAAATGACCACCGCAAAGACAGCTGCTTCGAAGCAGGTAAATGACATTAATTAAAACAATAATGAAAAAAAGTTTTAAACATTATCCCGCTAAATTTCTAAAATGGACACGACTGTATTTTTCAATCTAGACAATACCGTTTATATTGTTTTCAAAATATGTCCTGAGTGACAATAACAAACAGTGCAGATTATGATCAGTTTGCAAGGTCGTGCTATATTCTCTTTTGCATCATAGTCAAACATAAAACCACGTTCCCTATTGTCACAATATGAAACCCCAATGAACGAACACCTGAATATGATATTTCTATCATTTTCCCTTTCTCTGTCATCACTACAAGTAAAACCCAAATAAAAAAAGAGCCATTCAATGGGCATGCTCTGGTGTGGGGGTAACTAATACCTGCATTCCAGTTAACGCATGGGCATGTATATGTATACGATTTAACTCTGACACATTTTCAACAGAAAGGTCCCCAAACTATGATACAATTAAGGCATAAAATGCCTTTAGAACTATTAAATTGGTAAATTTTTAATAATATCAACACACTAAGAATTGTATCCTGACATACGTTTACAATTTTGACAAAGCGTCTCTGATATCTCGATTACTTGTTACGATGATTTATATTCCCGAGGAGTTAAAATGGTAGTAAAACAACAACAACAAGTGCAGTATGCTTTGTGATCCAAAATTGTTTTTATTTGTATATGCAAGTATAAGGAGAATGTGTAAAATAAACTGTAGATGTATTTATTTTACTGATATGCCTATTTTAAGTCTTAATATCAAATGTGCAATGTTGAGAGGGAAGTTTTGAAAGATTTGAAACAAAATGCCAAAATGCCAAAAACCAAAACCGACAACATCCCTATAACAGCAGGCCAAAGGGTCTTTATGCCTTAAAATATCGGAGCCATGTCACGTGAATAGTCATTAAATATTTATAAATTAAACTTGTAAGATCAATGATATTTATAGCCATATTGTTTTTTAACTGTTGATACAAATGAAAAAAAAGTTATTGCTATAACATAATAATGATGAATTATCAAAAATGTGTAAAATTATTTGTATACAAAAAAATTAAATATTATGTATATTGTAAATCATAAATATTTCCTTGTTGCTCAGATGATAATGTCCAAAAATATACTTTATGATTTAGGTATACTTACTATATAGCCAGATTTTAAAAATGAAAATAAAAGAAACTTAGAAAAAAAACAGGGATTGTAATATACACGTAGGGTATGTTAAGAAATGTATCTTTAAAAATTGTGACCAATGCCTTGTTTTTTTTTTTTTTTTTGGGGGGGGGGGGGGGGGGGGGGGGGGGGGAGGAGGGGGTTGATGAATACATGAATGATTGGATGATAAAATGAGATGAGATTTTTTTGGTAAGTATCATCATACTTGACGTTGATAAATCAAGGTCAAAATGTCGATTTGATACTTGTTTTCGTGGTTTTATATATTTTTTTGTTCAAGGCAGATGATATTCATCATGGTCCGGTTGTTCACATAATTATGTTGAATTATCAAAAAAGTGTAAATTTAAACTTTAATGTATAAAAAACAGTTTAGATAGTATGTATAGTGTAAGCCGGAAATATTGGAAAGATGAGAATATCCAAAAATATACTTAATGATCTAGCTGCGCTTTCTGACTAACAAGATTTTAAAAAGAAAAATGAATGAAACTTAGAAAATTTAACAAATTAGTGATTGAAATGTACACATATGGTATGACAAGAAATGCATTTTTAAAAGTTTAGAGTTTTTTTTTAAACGGTAAGACCAATGCCTTGTTTCTTGGGTTTTTTAGATGAATACATGAATGATTGGATGATAAAATGAGATGAGATTTTTTTGGTAAGTATCATCATACTTGACGTTGATAAATCAAGGTCAAAGTGTAGATTTGATACTTGCTTTTTGTGGTTTTATGTATTTTTTTGTTCAAGGCAGATCACGGTCAGGTTGTTAAAAAGATTTTAAAACAAAGATGTAATTTTTAATAAAGTAAAGTAAAGTTAATCATTTAGATAAAATAATATATCGAAAATGTATTGTCTCTGAAAATAGTGCTGAAAATATAACAAGTGTGTTGAAATTTCACAAAATTTTATAATTTGAAAATTTATCAAGACTACGGGAAAGTAAAAACAAACTAAAAAAATTGGCAATGAATAAATTGGCAATGGACATATGTTACAAACAATATGATTTGAAATTCGTATAGAAGTATCACAAAAGTAAAGGCTGAAAACAAATATATAAAAAAATGTCATCTGATAATTAAATGTAAAAAGAAGTTTTACATTAAAAAAGGAAAAATGATCTGGGAAAAGGAGATTAAATTGTTTAATTTTGTAGTCTTTTTGAAAAAAACTTCCTATCACGTGACAATAGCAAAATGTATGGGCCTACTATTAATAGGGAGTGTCGGCCGGTTTAAAATTTAGTGAGAGCTGCCGACCTTGAGGGCGTTCTTATTGCCCTCGTCGACAGACTCTGAGGAGGAGGAAACAGCCAGTGAGCTTCTTGCTCTGGTTGACATCCGGCTAATGCTGGCTCTTTGAGACGACATGCGGCTCCTATTCCTTTCTGCGTCTGCCTGTCTATATCTGATAGTGAGTCGAACTCTTTCCTGAAACCGGTGTTCGGACTCCTCCTTTCTTTGCTTGCATTCAATCCTTAATATATCAAAGAAAAATGTGACAATTGTATGTTGATCAATCCAATAATGTAGAGTATATATTTTTGTGTGATGTAATTGATATAGTACATGAAGTGATGTAACTAATATAGTATTTGGCGTGATGTAAATTATATACTATCTGGTGTGATGTAAATGATATAGTATCTGATGTGATGTAAATGATATAGTATTTGGTGTGATGTAAATGATAAAGTATGAGTGTGATGTAAATGATATAGTATCTGATGTGATGAAAATTAAACAATATCTTGTGTAATGTAAATGAAATAGTATCTTGTGTACTGTAAATGATAAAGTATATGCATTGGTGTGATGTAAATGATATAGTATCTGATGTGATGTAAATGCAATAATATCTTGTGTAATGTAAATGATAAAGTATATGGTGTGATGTAGATGATATAGTATCTGATGTGATGTAAATGATATAGTATATGGTGTAATGTAAATGATATAGTATTTGGCGTGATGTAAATGATATAATATCTTGTGTAATATAAACGAAATAGTATCTTGTGTAATTAAATGTAAATGATAAGGAATATGGTGTGATGTAAATGATATAGTATCTGGTGTGATGTAAATGATATAGTATCTGATGTGATGTAAATGATATATTATCATGCAACTACTATGGTAACTGCCCGATAATACTTGCCTGATAATTATTTTTGATATCAGGTCAGTAACCTGATATCAAAAATAAGCCCCGCTCATTTTAACGGACTTTTTTTCAATTGCTTATATAAATTCTCATTTTCATCAGCATGAAAATTCTACAATGTAATCTCATACCCTTACAAGTCTAGAATCAAGATGTGATATTTTTTATTTATTATTTCGATTTCAATTAGAATAAATTAAAAAAGCGAATATATATAGTTTTAGCACCAACTAAATGAAGTGACGTCATAATTTGTATTGCAAATGACATCATCGATGTTCACGTCATAGTATACATGTAATCATAACAATTTCTTTGAAACTTGTAAATGTTTACTTTATTCCGCCGGATTATTATTTCATTAATGAACACATTGTTTCGGTTGAAAAATAAGACGCATGTTTGTGTAGCTTGTGTTTGATTGCCGATTTGACTTTTCTTTGATTGAAATTATCATGAACTTTTGAATTTGACAATTCAAGACAAAAATTGCAGTAAAGTTAAGTTTATGTGATTCTTAGTGGATTATTGGATCGATGTTTAAATTAAAGGTAAGAATTTTATCGTATTAGGCCTACATTCTGTTGTATCTTTTATCCGAGTGTAATGTAAACGATAAAGTATCTGGCGGATGTGATGTAAATGATATTATAGTATTTGGTTTTATGTAAATGATACTTATCTGGTGTGATGGAAATGAGATAGAATCTGGTGTGATGTACATTATATCGTGTCTGGTGTAATGTAAATGGTGCGGTATCTGGTGTGATGTAACTGATATATTATTATGTCATGTAAATGCTATAGTATCTGATGCCATGTAAATGATATAGTAGATGGTGTTATGTAAATGATACAGTATCTGATGTGATGTTAATGATATATTATCTAGTGTAATATAAATGGTAAGGAATCTGGTGTGATGTAAATGATGCAGTATCTGGTGTGACATAAATTATATTTTATATGGTGTCATGTAAATGATATTGTGTCTTATGCCATGTAAATGATATATTATCTGGTGTGAAGTAAATGATATATATCTGGTGTGATGTAAATAACATAGAATCTGGTGTCATGTAAATGATAAAGTATCTCGCGTGATGTAAATCATATAGTTACTGTAACTGGTGTAATGTAAATGATATGTATCCGGTATACTGTTAATAATATATCTGGTGCGATGTTAATCATAGAATATTTGGTGTGATGTAAATGAGATATTGTCTGGTGTGATTCAATGTTAAATATATTTTGTGTAATATTAATAATACGATTCTTATTATATCGAAATTATATAATCATTAAACGTGCGAAATATGATAATTCGTGTCTGTACATCAGGTATACGAAACATACACATTCCTTTTATCAATGTAAATTATGTAATAAAATGTACATGTATATGTTATCAAATGATTGTTACACAATATTTAGTGAACTTACTTTTTTCTCTGGTGCTCTCTTGCCAGAACCTTCTTTTTCGAAAGCTCCTCATTTCTTTTGGCTTCGGCCTTTTCTTGTCGAGCCTCACAAGCTAGTCGTATCTGTTAAAATGTAACAAACATTAAAGGCAAACTCAAACTTTCCTTTTGAAAATTCGCAATTTTGTCTAAATTATATTTATCTATACTGTAGTAACAAAATAGTAACAAATTATACAAGTAGACTATTGGCTATTCCTAACGTTCCATATAGTGCCGTTGTTTGTCTTATGATTATATAGATATTTTTAATCAAGACACAACTTCATCGTATATTCGTCAATACTCGGCTTATTTCGTTTTTTTCCCGGTACTTATATAGCGTTAATGGGATGGGACTTAATTTATTTGAAACAATGTCTGCTGAAAATACACATTGGATTAAATATAACTTTTTAACGTTGCAGATATTTAATAATATAATATTAGTTATAATAAGTTGAGGTCGAAGGGCAAATTTCAAATGTCTTTAACACTTACTATTCTAATTACGTTTGTTAAATTACTTAACCACGGATCGTTTATAGGGGAAATTTTAACATATTTATACACTGACTGAATAGCGAATAGCAAATAGTGCAGTTACATAAAATGCCTTATTAATACATAGATCTATATATATTTTCATTGTGCGTCAAAAATATTTCCAGTATGCATATAAAGTATGTTGTATTCAAAATGAGATTTATACTTACAGGCCCGTCAGCTTTCTTTATTGGCGGCAATATCGGCTTCATTTCTATTGGTTTGCAATCTACCTCAATAGTAAAAGACTCCCCGCCACGTGCTTTTCTGTGCTCATATTGAACTAAAATAGAAATAGTATTGTCAATGAATGATCTTGTTTAATAAAATAAAACCAGCTTTGTCTTCTTCATATATTTATATTTTTTCTAACTGTCACAAAATGCGAGCGAATAAGTATAATTCTTACCTAGCGTTGGTGTGGGAGCGCGGCTAGCTATAGCCTTTCTTTTCTTTTCCCGACGTTTCTCTTTCCTTTTGGCCATCCAAGTTGAAATGAAACCAAAACAACTTGGTAGCTTCATCTTCTTTTTCTTCTTCTTCTCATTTCCCTGGTCACATTCGTTAGTAGTGGTCGCAATGTTTTCCTTTTCTGCGTTTACAACTTTATCTTTTTTATCAAGGTCTTCATTTTCCTTCAATTGAAGAGGAATCCCGAGGGAGATAGTATTACAAATGTGGTGCAGCTTACATCAATTCATTCAAAGATTTCCAAACATGTACAATTTAAATTCAACGAAACAAATAATGTTCTTCAATGTTATCAATCCTTCACATGAAAAGAATGAAATAAATCCGGAATATCCAAGTACCAATTATAATTGACAAACAAAGCTATTCAGCAATAATCTAACTGTCAGGTACACTAACAAAGAACAAATTAGATACACTTAATGTCATTTTGTTCTGTATCTTTACATACATATTGTTAATTTGATATAGGTTTGTGGATTGCACCTGTAAGCTTATACTTACAATCTTAGCTCAAAAAAGATATAACTCAATTAAACCCCTTTATAGGCCATTTTATTGGGAAAGTCAGAATTATTGAATATTTTCCGTGAAGTACAAAAGCATGCATGTTTCATGTGTATAAAAAATAAAATATCCCTCACATTAATGTCAAACCCCTCACGAGGACGTAGACATGTAACAAGTAGCAAATACATAATAAACATTAGATATAATAATAAAGTCAAGATATTTGCATACAAAATGTTATTCCTGTTATTAATTTATCATCAATTTAGTTAGTAATAAGTACTGTAGGCTATTGTAGTATTATGCTAAGCACAAGGTTGAAACTCGAAGTTTACCTTATTTCCCGCCTCGTTTTTCATGTTTGTACTATCTACCCCTTTATATGCTGATACATCCATTGACTCTCTAAGATTTTCCTCTTTGTCTTCTAAACTCGTACTTATATCAGCAGCCAGTTGTTCTAATTCCTGCTTTGGTGAATTTGTTAGCTTGACATCCTCCTCTTCTAAATCATCGTCGCTTGAATCGGTAAAATCGTCGCTATATTCCGCCGCTGTACCCCTCTGTAAACTCTGATCCCGTGCATGCGTAAACTGAACCTCTTTAAATGTTCTGTCTGGTACAGAACGACTTCGGGTCTGTCTTGGTCCCTTGTAAGTAAAAACTTGACTTCTTTTATTTGCCAACATAATCTGTTGTTCCATAAGTTTCTTTGTATCTGCCCTCACTGGGGGTAAAGATCCTGTACCAGCTGAGGGCTCAACTTTTATGATTCTCACCTTATGTGAGGACATTTCAGCTAATGGCAAATTGCAGCGCCCATCATGGATATCTTTCAGCCCCCATTCTGATATTGCTAGGAGACGTTGTCAAATGACGTCTTTAAGTGACGTCATCTTATTGTTGCAAAACATTCGTGACACTTTTGACGTTACGATTGACATATAAAAATATACAGAGGGTAGACCCTCTTTTCGGGTTTTTTTTCTATAACTACAAGATTTATTTTCATTGAGTGGCATGAAAATAAATATTTCATGAATGGCGGTAGCCACCAATGAAATATGGTACTTTTCATATCACAAGATGAAAATATATCTTGTATTTATAGAATATAACTTCAATTTTCTGTTTATTATATACTTATTTCTCTTTTTTAACCATACAGTTCTTAAAACTTCTCATTTAATTTTGTGTATTGGCTGAATTAAGAAGAAAGTCAGGCAAGGTACAAGTGAAAATACGGAAAATATGCTTCACTGCAGTGAAAAATAAATTTTACAGTGATGATGCGGAAAATGCGCATTTTATTTCATCAATATTTTTCAATATTTCATTCATAAGTATATAATAATCAGTTTTATAACATGATTTTTGGTTGTTTATAGAAATATATCCGTGAGATAAAAAAGTGATATTTCACTATTTGAAACAGTGCAAATATCAATTAAATATTGATTCACTTTTTCGAGCTTTAGCCCGTTAAGTTATTTCATTGAAATACCAGTGTGCATACTTTATTACTGGAAACCAACTTAATGTCGTGACGTCGTAAATGTATTATTATTTGGCGCGCTTTATATTTCTTTTCTTAACGTTTCTTTGCATGTAATAAAAAAATGTGAAGTATAAGTCCGGAATATATTTTACCGCGTGAGCACCGAACGGTATAATTCACGAGTGACCAGGCCACGAGTGAAATATGAACTTTTGTTGCTCACGGGTAAAATTTATTTATAGAGAGGGACATTGCTAGTTGAAATATTATTAATTCGTCTTTAAGACGTTTGACTGTATTAAATTTTGCGTGCTATATTGCCGTCGCAAGTAGGATATTCGGGTTATATAAACCTTTATCCAATTTTATGGAATAGAAAGAGCACCGAAACACGAGGCTATCTGATTTGTACGAGGGGGCGTAGCCCCCGAGTATAAATCAGATTGCCGAGTGTTTTGGTGTTCTTTCTCTTTTGTATCATAGTCAAACATAAAAACACGTTCCCTGTTGCCCGGGAAAAAGTAATCAATGATCGAGCAATCTGAATATGATATTTCTGCCGCTTTCCCTTTCTCTGCCGTCACAATATGTAAACCCCAGCAAAAATGAGCCAATCAACGGGCATGATCTGGAGTGCGGGTAACTGATACCTGCACTCCAGTTACTGCACTGTGCATGTATATGTATACGATTTAACTCTGACACTTTTTCAACAGAAAGGTCCCCAAACTATGATACAAATGGACTATATAATACTGCACGTTTGTAACGCCGCTATTTAGAAGATTATGGAGACGTTAATTAATATACTTATATACTATGGTGGCTGATTTGTGCCTTGCCGTATTTTCGCCTAATGGGACGCCGCACGAACTCACGCAAATACGAGAGTCATTTTTTGTCATACTTTCACTTCGCGGAGCGAAAAGACAAAAACACGATAATACGACAAAGCGGTGTCAATGTCGTAATTTTGTGTTTTCGCATAGTGCCTTGAGAAGGAAAAATACATGGCACAAATCAGCCACCATAATAAACCCTTATCGTCAATTTATTAAGTAATTTCTTTTTCAGTTTTCTTTCTAAAATAAAAGAAATATACAAATTTGTCATTAAGCTTCTTATCATGCTATATGACCATATATAATTAATAAACGGCTGTTTTTAATCTAAAAGATGAAAAGGCTATTTAACCTGTCAAAAATCTTGACAACTAATACTGCAGTAATATAACCTGCTACAAATAATTATAACGTAAAACACTAGAACATCATTTAGTTGTTAGTAATGCCAAAAATTCATTTCTTAATGTTAACAAACACAAATGACAAAGTCCTACTTAGGAGTAATAAACATCTAATTAGGCTTTTTTATCTCCTACATAGGAATTATCTTTTTATAGAACATGTTAAATTGGTACCTAGACAGTTCCGTAGTAATGCTATATAAGTACTGTGTGTATGAATTTACATACTATTTTCAGAAAATATTGTCTCCCGGTTACTTTTGAAGATCCAGATGAGAAGTTTTTCGCAAAAGATTATTGTGTTGAGGGTCGACGGAGTTTCACATTGTTTCAATGTGACAGTAAGGCTATTAATGGAATTGTAGTATGAAATTTTTTTTATTTTTTTTTAAGCGTCTTTTTCTAATAAAGTCTGGTCTATTCAACGGGACACAATATATCGGTAGTGTAAAAAAGCAATTTTAGAAAAAAACATACCTTATAGGTACAAAGGTGCCAAATTTTCTGATTTTCACAAGTTCACCAAGATCAAATTTCAGAGTCATGCTAAAGTAAAATATATATCAAGTGCTAAACATCGTATCTTAACGCTGATAACTACACTGATGACCAGGCTCAAACAGATCAAATGAAATCTCGAAAGCAACTATTTCTTCATTTTCTTCATTCAAAATTAATATTAGTCGGTCTCTTTAAACATTCGTTGGTTATACAATGCGACACTCGAACTAGTAGTTGCACTTAGACCCAGAAGGGATCAAAAAACGTAATTCTTTAGCTGTTTCTTCATGGATTCGTATGTGTTATTGACTGATAATAATGATAATATAAATGTCTAAATGTCTTTACTTTTGCAACATTGTCAAATGAGCTAAAAAGGGGGTGTAGCGTCCGTGGCCGAGTGGTTAAGGTCGTTGACTTCAAAACACTTGCTCTCACTGCTGTGGTTTAGAATCCCAAAAAGGAGTTTGGATTCTTTCATGTGCTAACTTACAGAACGTCAATGGTTTTACTAATGTGCCATTTCGTGCCTGAAATAATCCACGCAAGGTCTTTTTCCACCAGTAAAGCTCGAACGTCGCCGTTACTGTGTCGGTGTGACGTAGAACCCAATCAAACAAACAAACACACAGATACAAAAGCAAAATGTAGGTATACTTTTGACCACCAAACACTTTATGCCTGCAGTTGTATTTCAAAAAAAAAATTGTTTACAGTTGTATTTCAAATAATTGTTTAATTTTGCATGTATGTTTAAATTGAATAGAGGATATTTGTTTGTTTGTGTGTAAGATGAAATTCTATTTCATCGAGTGGGCTTTAAAAACAGTATTCTCACGAGTGGCGTAGCCACGACTGAGAATACTGTTTTTAAAGTTCACGAGATGAAATAAAATTACATCTTACACAACAAACAGACAAATTTTCTTTTTATTTTATGCTTAAAAACAAGTTAAAACGAAATTTCCATAATTTTAACGTTAATATTAAAATCTGTTTCCCCCATTGAGAGCCCCATTTAGACGGAATTTCTCATTTAAAACAAGAAGTCTTGAGCTGAAAAAAAAAGTCCGCCAATCAAGGTTAAATGACGGTGATATTTATTCATTTTATCAAAAATTATAAATGATCGCTTGTTTTAATAATAAAAAGAAAAAAATCTTGTAGGAGAAAAAGTCCAACCATCCATCCATATTTCTGTTACTTACTGCGAATTTATATTAGACCTGGCTTTGTAAAATGTAAGCGGCAGCCATTTTTTAAAGTTGTGTATTTCATGGAAGGAAAATAATTGTGTAAGATTCAGAAGGATATGTTTTGGATTTGTTAGTCATACACCTTTTCAAAAGAAAGAAAACTTATTTGAGGATTGTAACAGACAAAAAATAACTGTTGACAGAAGTGAAAACATTCAGAAAAGGAGCTAGGAAATTGGAAAACTTGGAAGCTTGCAAAGGAACGCTGGGAATTTTTACTTATTTTACGAGTGATGGCTGTCAATGCTTTTCAATTTTTCATAAAGCATACGGCAGTTATTGCTCGTAGGATACTTTAATATGCCCAAATGTCATCAAGAGCAGTTTTGCATGGGGAAGGAATGTATTTTTCAGACTGTAAAAACGAAACAAAAAAAATAATTTAGAGACGAAATTTTGTGATTGGAATTTGAAGGAATAGAAGTAAGTTTTCTCTCTTTACTACTTTTGACATTTACCCTGTTTGCAGGTATTCTCGCGGTACTAAGGAAATAAAGTCATATAATGACAAACAAAATATTTACCTTGTTGTTCTTTCCTTTTCTTCATCCAAGTTAACCAATAATTGATTTATTTACATGAAAAAAATCGATATAAAACATTTCAATTTTATTTTCCGCCATTTTATAAACAGGTACCCTGACCTTGACCTTTGAATAGAAGTTATTTATATTCTCGCGGTAAAAATCTATACCATACAGTAGGCTTTCAGCAAGTCAAAGATGTGTAAACTACCTAATGCAATTAACTGAACAATAACTGTACTAAAAGTTTCAACAAGTGTGACTTTATAATTAATGCAAAAACATGTCTATAATCAAATTTGTCTGAGCACAAGGTAAGTTGATTTGTAATATTTCCTGTCACAAGAGTTATTCTCAGTTACACAATGTGGGCATCTGAACACAGTAGCCCTTCTTACTACTGTAATTGGTGTACAAAATCTAAGATGTACCCAATGAGAGCAAAAATTACACTGAGCCCACTTTGTGAAGACAATACTAACACAATGCTTGAGTTGAGTGGGTGTGTAGAGCTTGCAGACACAACATTTGTCTCTCTCCTCTATCTCAATATCAGTATCACTGTCTGACATATGTGATGGAGAGTCCAAAGATATAGGTACCCCTGTCTTAGATGTTCCAGATGTGCTAGGAACTGGTTCTTCATGTTCCTTACTCTTCCTCTGCTTCTTAGACGGTGTTTGTATGGGATTTTTTTGTCTATTTTGAACAGTTTTCTCAGATTTGGCACCCTTAGACTTCCTTTGATTTTGCAGAACATGTGTATTTCTTTCATTTAACAGATTTCCCCATTATGTATGGTGGAATAAATTTTTTCTTAGGTCTTTGTTTGACAGTGTTAATTTGTCTCTTTGCAAAGAAAGTGACAGATTCATCATACAAAATGGTTTCTTGCGAGCCAGAGGGCTCTTCTGGTTGCTGTGGTGCCTTTTCGGTTGATTCAACTTGTGTATCCAGTCCATGGCACTGATCATGATTTTCACTGGAATAGAATGATGAAGGTGCAGTGTCACTCTTGGAAATTTGAGACTCATCAAATGGATATATTCCTGATTTTTTGAAAGCTGATGTGATGTTTGATGGAGAGAAAGCTTTCAAGTAAGGCTTAGAAGTTAGTTAAGCAATTTCATATTTGGTAATGTATACACCCGGGTTATGCTGCAAATACTGTTGACACTCAGTGTAGTAGAAGGCTTTGAATGGGCCATAAACACCAACATCCAGTGGTTGCGTGAGATGACTGGTATGTGGGGGAAGTACAAAGAGGACCACATTCCTCTGTCTAGCCCACTCATTCAAAGTCAACGATAAATTGCTTTTGTGCCCATCATACAGGATCAATGTGGCTGGTCTATCTGAAGAGACAGAATCAAGGTTGCGTGCTTCGCAAGATGTCTCGTGACATAATCTTCAAAAATTTCACCATTCACCCAACCACTATCCGACATTGTACCATCTGCACCAGGTTGAGCACCTTCCATGAACTGAGAATTAAACCTTTTCCCAGGGAATATATAAAAAGGAGGCACATGATTTCCAAGGGCATTTGCTCCTCCTATTATTGTAACATTGGAAGATCTTGGGGAGGTAATTGCCTGAGGTTTATCATTTTTCCCACAAACTATTTTAGGTGGTGAGTGCTGGGTGCTTACTCCTGTTTCATCTATATTATAGATTCTTTCAGGTGAATTGATTAAGTCATTGTCATCTAGAATATTCTTCAGTTTTTTGAAATAGTTGTTTATTTTTTCTTCAGAGGCACCTTTAGCTCTGGCCAAATCAAGCTTTTGAGGCTTGACAGCTTTCAAGTCTGGGTTTCTTTTCATGAAACTATAGTACCACACAGTACTTAAACCATCCTTTGCAACAACTTTCTTCCCCATTGACCTGGCATAGTCAGCAGCCATAAATCTTATGTTGGTCATGGTGTAGCCATATCTGATACTGGCCATATACTTTATATGCTGTGCTAACTTGTCCTCCTCCAGAGAAGACAATAGAGTCTCTGGTCCAGGACGTGCCTCAAGGGTGACATTATGTCTAGTCCTGTCTCTCAAAGTAGACTCCGGGACATGGTACACTCTAGATGCCCGATAAACAGACATGCCATTTGAAACACAAGCTGCATAGGCTCTCTTAAGGCTTTCCTTGTCATATGGCTGCTTAAGCCTGCTTTGGGACCCCTGAAAAAAAAAACAAAAAAAAAAACTATGGTATGGTATAGGTTTTGAAGTTTTAGGCAACAACAACAACAACAAATGGAGTCCTGTCAGCAGACGGAAGATGTCAATCTTTAAATGGAGGAAAGTTACCAAAGAATAGACATTTTTGTGAATGATTTAGTTAAAGTTTTGCATTTACAAGGTAAAATTTGTGATTTACTTACCTTTAGTCGGTTCATTACTGTAAAATGTTACTCAAAACACTGCTGAATAAAAGTAGGTCACAAATATTTACTATAGGTGGCGCTGTGATTCAACCTCGTGAAAAATAAAAATAACGCGATTTAACGCGAGAATACCAGCAAAGAGTATAAGTTATTTATCTATTTCAGCTTTGCTATTTCTTTAAATAGCCTGACATTGTCAGAATTGTCAGTAAAAATAAAATTGAGGTACTACATGGGGAAAATCTTAAAAAAGTAGTTTCGTCATTGAAAAAAGTGAAAATATATTTTGATAATTTTCACTGTGAAATTATCAAATATAATTTTCACGGATAAATCAGTAATCCACTGAAAAGCATAAAATAAATCTATTATAATTATTAGATAGTGAAGTGGAGAATCAGATTAACGAGATTACGTCATATCTGGATGCAAGTATGGTTTACGGGTCCAGCCAAGAGGAAGAGCATACCCTCCGGACATTTATTGGTGGTAAATATGCCAAGTCCCACATTTTTACCATTTGTCCAGTTTCCATCAGATTTATTTAAGCTAAGATTTTAAACAATTTCTAGCAAATTATAATTATCATTTTTGAACCTGTTTGTCGGAACTAACGACAGTCTGTGATATAAGACAGAACTTGGTCGTGATCCCTGCAGGATTCGAACCAACAAGCGTTATGCTGATCGGCAGACGCCATTAACTTTATGCCACCGCTCTCCTATAGGCTTCTTGTATTTCTTGAACTACAAGGATAATTATATAATATTAGCAACCTGAGACAAGGCTATATTAAAGGTTGCTAATATGCACAATTCCGCCGAGGTTATTATTTCAGTTCAAGGATTGCTAAGATGAGCTTTTAGCCTGAGAGACTTGAATGTGTTATCTTTTATCATACCGAACTAATTTCTAAATATAACTTTTCACCGCTCCGAGAGTCATTCATCATTGATTTTATAGGGGGAGAGAACTAGGACATGACGTTTTCCTAAGTCTCTATAGATCACTTGCCCCTGGGGAATATTGCAGGGTGATATTTATTTCCAGGATGATATATATCGAAATAACACCATGTGCCATCAAATTAGGCTACATAATAGTAAAATGTTTATAAATGTGAGGTTTAATAAAATTCTTGTACTTTTAAATCTGCTGAGTATAATATGTCTATATTCGAATACTTGTATAACCCTAGCATACGCCATAAACACCCTTTAAAACTTTAGTAAGCATCATCAAGCATCGTAGTATACTTTACGATTGGGCGATATATATAAAATTATAGGACAATATATGTTTTATTTTAAAGGACTTTTAGAGCAGAGTTACAATGAATTACTCCCAAACTCGTCACGTGGTTTCGAACTGCCGTGTAATACTACCACAAATGACCACCGCAAAGACAGCTGCTTCGAAGCAGGTAAATGACATTAATTAAAACAATAATGAAAAAAAGTTTTAAACATTATCCCGCTAAATTTCTAAAATGGACACGACTGTATTTTTCAATCTAGACAATACCGTTTATATTGTTTTCAAAATATGTCCTGAGTGACAATAACAAACAGTGCAGATTATGATCAGTTTGCAAGGTCGTGCTATATTCTCTTTTGCATCATAGTCAAACATAAAACCACTTTCCCTATTGTCACAATATGAAACCCCAATGAACGAACACCTGAATATGATATTTCTATCATTTTCCCTTTCTCTGTCATCACTACAAGTAAAACCCAAATAAAAAAGAGCCATTCAATGGGCATGCTCTGGTGTGGGGGTAACTAATACCTGCATTCCAGTTAACGCATGGGCATGTATATGTATACGATTTAACTCTGACACATTTTCAACAGAAAGGTCCCCAAACTATGATACAATTAAGGCATAAAATGCCTTTAGAACTATTAAATTGGTAAATTTTTAATAATATCAACACACTAAGAATTGTATACTGACATACGTTTACAATTTTGACAAAGCGTCTCTGATATCTCGATTACTTGTTACGATGATTTATATTCCCGAGGAGTTAAAATGGTAGTAAAACAACAACAACAAGTGCAGTATGCTTTGTGATCCAAAATTGTTTTTATTTGTATATGCAAGTATAAGGAGAATGTGTAAAATAAACTGTAGATGTATTTATTTTACTGATATGCCTATTTTAAGTCTTAATATCAAATGTGCAATGTTGAGAGGGAAGTTTTGAAAGATTTGAAACAAAATGCCAAAATGCCAAAAACCAAAACCGACAACATCCCTATAACAGCAGGCCAAAGGGTCTTTATGCCTTAAAATATCGGAGCCATGTCACGTGAATAGTCATTAAATATTTATAAATTAAAATTGTAAGATCAATGATATTTATAGCCATATTGTTTTTAACTGTAACTTTACAAATGAAAAAAAAGTTATTGCTATAACATAATAATGATGAATTATCAAAAATGTGTAAAATTATTTGTATACAAAAAAATTAAATATTATGTATATTGTAAATCATAAATATTTCCTTGTTGCTCAGATGATAATGTCCAAAAATATACTTTATGATTTAGGTATACTTACTATATAGCCAGATTTTAAAAATGAAAATAAAAGAAACTTAGAAAAAAAACAACAGGGATTGTAATATACACGTAGGGTATGTTAAGAAATGTATCTTTAAAAATTGTGACCAATGCCTTGTTTTTTTGGGGTTTTTTTGTGGGAGGTGGGGGGGAGGAGGGGGGTTGATGAATACATGAATGATTGGATGATAAAATGAGATGAGATTTTTTTGGTAAGTATCATCATACTTGACGTTGATAAATCAAGGTCAAAATGTCGATTTGATACTTGTTTTCGTGGTTTTATATATTTTTTTGTTCAAGGCAGATGATATTCATCATGGTCCAGTTGTTCACATAATTATGTTGAATTATCAAAAAAGTGTAAATTTAAACTTTAATGTATAAAAAACAGTTTAGATAGTATGTATAGTGTAAGCCGGAAATATTGGAAAGATGAGAATATCCAAAAATATACTTAATAATCTAGGTGCGCTTTCTGACTAACAAGATTTTAAAAAGAAAGATGAATGAAACTTAGAAAATTTAACAAGTAAGTGATTGAAATGTACACATATGGTATGACAAGAAATGCATTTTTAAAAGTTTAGAGTTTTTTTTTAAACGGTAAGACCAATGCCTTGTTTCTTGGATTTTTTAGATGAATACATGAATGATTGGATGATAAAATGAGATGAGATTTTTTTGGTAAGTATCATCATACTTGACGTTGATAAATCAAGGTCAAAGTGTAGATTTGATACTTGCTTTTTGTGGTTTTATGTATTTTTTTGTTCAAGGCAGATCACGGTCAGGTTGTTAAAAAGATTTTAAAACAAAGATGTAATTTTTAATAAAGTAAAGTAAAGTTAATCATTTAGATAAAATAATATATCGAAAATGTATTGTCTCTGAAAATAGTGCTGAAAATATAACAATTGTGTTGAAATTTCACAAAATTTTATAATTTGAAAATTTATCAAGACTACGGGAGAAATGATATTAACCTTTGTTTTCCAAAAGCAGAATTTTGAAAATGAAGAAAGTAAAAACAAACTAAAAAAATTGGCAATGAATAAATTGGCAATGGACATATGTTACAAACAATATGATTTGAAATTCGTATAGAAGTATCACAAAAGTAAAGGCTGAAAACAAATATATAAAAAAATGTCATCTGATAATTAAATGTAAAAAGAAGTTTTACATTAAAAAAGGAAAAATGATCTGGGAAAAGGAGATTAAATTGTTTAATTTTGTAGTCTTTTTGAAAAAAACTTCCTATCACGTGACAATAGCAAAATGTATGGGCCTACTATTAATAGGGAGTGTCGGCCGGTTTAAAATTTAGTGAGAGCTGCCGACCTTGAGGGCGTTCTTATTGCCCTCGTCGACAGACTCTGAGGAGGAGGAAACAGCCAGTGAGCTTCTTGCTCTGGTTGACATCCGGCTAATGCTGGCTCTTTGAGACGACATGCGGCTCCTATTCCTTTCTGCGTCTGCCTGTCTATATCTGATAGTGAGTCGAACTCTTTCCTGAAACCGGTGTTCGGACTCCTCCTTTCTTTGCTTGCATTCAATCCTTAATATATCAAAGAAAAATGTGACAATTGTATGTTGATCAATCCAATAATGTAGAGTATATATTTTTGTGTGATGTAATTGATATAGTACATGAAGTGATGTAACTAATATAGTATTTGGCGTGATGTAAATTATATACTATCTGGTGTGATGTAAATGATATAGTATCTGATGTGATGTAAATGATATAACATTTGGTGTGATGTAAATGATAAAGTATGAGTGTGATGTAAATGATATAGTATCTGATGTGATGAAAATTAAACAATATCTTGTGTAATGTAAATGAAATAGTATCTTGTGTACTGTAAATGATAAAGTATATGCATTGGTGTGATGTAAATGATATAGTATCTGATGTGATGTAAATGAAATAATATCTTGTGTAATGTAAATGATAAAGTATATGGTGTGATGTAAATGATATAGTATCTGATGTGATGTAAATGATATAGTATATGGTGTAATGTAAATGATATAGTATTTGGCGTGATGTAAATGATATAATATCTTGTGTAATATAAACGAAATAGTATCTTGTGTAATGTAAATGATAAGGAATATGGTGTGATGTAAATGATATAGTATCTGGTGTGATGTAAATGATATAGTATCTGATGTGATGTAAATGATATATTATCTGACGTGATGTAAATGATATAGTATATGGTGTGATGTAAATGAAATAGTATCTGATGTGATGTAAATGATATAGTATCTGGTATGATGTAAGTGATATAGTGTGTGGTGTGTTGTAAATGAAATAGTATCTGGTGTGATGTAAATAATATAGTATCTGGTGTGATTTAATTGATATAGTATATGGTGTGATGTAAATAATATAGTATTTGGCGTGATGTAAGTGATATAATGTCTTGTGTAATGTGAAGAAAATAGTATCTTGTGTAATGTAAATGATATAGTATATGGTGTGATGTAAATGTTATAGTATCTGATGTTATGTAAATGATATAGTATCTGGTATGATGTAAGTGATATAGTATGTGGTGTGATGTAAATGATAAAGTATATGATGTGATGTAAATGATATAGTATCTGATGTGATGTAAACAATATAGTATATGGTGTGATGCAAATGAAATAGTATCTGGTGTGATGTAAATGATATAGTATCTGATGTGATGTAAATGACATAGTATCTGGTGTATGGTAAATGAAATAGTATCTGGTGTGATGTAAATGATATATTATCTGGCGTGATGTAAATGATATAGTATATGGTGTGATGTAAATGAAATAGTATCTGATGTGATGTAAATGATATATTATCTGGCGTGATGTAAATGATATAGTATATAGTGTGATTTAAATGAAAAAGTATCTGGTGTGATATAAATGATATAGTATATTATGTAATGTAATTGATATAGTATATGGTGTGATGTAAATGATATAGTATCTGGTGTGATGTAAATGATATAGTATCTGGTGCATGGTAAATTAAATAGTATCTGTTGTGATGTATATGATATAGTATCTGGTGTGTTGTAAATGAAATAGTATCTAGTGTGATGTAAATGATATAGTATCTGGTGTGATGTAAATGATATAGTATCTGGTGTATGGTAAATTAAATAGTATCTTGTGTGATGTAAATGATATAGTATCTGTTGTGATGTAAATGATATAGTATCTGGTGTGATGTAAATGATATAGTATCTGATGTTATGTAAATGATATAGTATCTGGTGTATGGTAAATTAAATAGTAATTTGGTGTGTACATGTTATATATCCGTTGTGGTTAATGATATAGTAACTTGTGTGATGTAAGTAATTTTGTATCTATGAAATAATATCTGGAATAATGAAAATTTTATATATCTGGTGTGATGTAAATGATATATATCTGGTGATATGTAAAAAATAAAGTACCTAGTTTGATGTAAATGATATAGTTGATGGTGTAATGTAAATTATATAGTTGATGGTGTAATGTAAATGATATAGTTGATGGTGTAATGTAAATGATATAGTTGCTGGTGTAATGTAAATGATAGAGTATCTGCTGTGATGTAATTACTATAGAATATGTAGTGATGTAAATGATATAGTATCTTGTGTAATGTAAGTGATATAGTATCTGGTGTGATGTAAATGCTATAGTATATGGTATGATGTTAAATATATAGTATCTGGTGTAATGTAAGTGATATAGTATCTGGTGTGATATAAATGATATAGTATCTGGTGTAATGTGATATAGTATATGGTATGATGTAAATGATATTGTTGATTGTGTAATGTAAATAATATAGTATCTGATGTAATATAGATGGTTCAGTTTCTGGTGTAATGTAAACGATAAAGTATCTGGCGGATGTGATGTAAATGATATTATAGTATTTGGTGTTATGTAAATGATATATGTGCAGTTAATGATACTTATCTGGTGTGATGGAAATGAGATAGAATCTGGTGTGATGTTCATTATATCGTGTCTGGTGTGATGTAAATGGTGCGGTATCTGGTGTGATGTAACTGATATATTATTATGTCATGTAAATGCTATAGTATCTGATGCCATGTAAATGATATAGTAGATGGTGTTATGTAAATGATACAGTATCTGATGTGATGTTAATGATATATTATCTAGTGTAATATAAATGGTAAGGAATCTGGTGTGATGTAAATGATGCAGTATCTGGTGTGACATAAATTATATTTTATATGGTGTCATGTAAATGATATTGTGTCTTATGCCATGTAAATGATATATATCTGGTGTGATGTAAATAACATAGAATCTGGTGTCATGTAAATGATAAAGTATCTCGCGTGATGTAAATCATATAGTTACTGTAACTGGTGTAATGTAAATGATATGTATCCGGTATACTGTTAATGATATATCTGGTGCGATGTTAGTAATAGAATATTTGGTGTGATGTAAATGAGATATTGTCTGGTGTGATTCAATGTTAAATATATTTTGTGTAATATTAATAATACGATTCTTATTATATCGAAATTATATAATCATTAAACGTGCGAAATATGATAATTCGTGTCTGTACATCAGGTATACGAAACATACACATTCCTTTTATCAATGTAAATTATGTAATAAAATGTACATGTATATGTTATCAAATGGTTGTTACACAATATTTAGTGAACTTACTTTTTTTCTCTGGTGCTCTCTTGCCAGAACCTTCTTTTTCGAAAGCTCCTCATTTCTTTTGGCTTCGGCCTTTTCTTGTCGAGCCTCACAAGCTAGTCGTATCTGTTAAAATGTAACAAACATTAAAGGCAAACTCAAACTTTCCTTTTGAAAATTCGCAATTTTGTCTAAATTATATTTTTTTTATTCTGTTGGTTTAAAAAAATAGTAAAACAAATTAAAAACAAGTAAAAATATTTGGCATTTAAGTTCATGTTGTGCGTTTTTGTTTAACAAATTTATTTTTTTTATTGGGGGAATTATCGGGATTTTTTCGTTTTTTCCCGGTACCCTTTTTTAAAAGGTAAAAAGGGGGGTTTGGGGACTTTAATTTTATTTGAAACAAAGGTTTTGTGAATTAACCCATTGGATTAAATATAATTTTTAAACGTGCAGAAATTAAAATTAAAAATATAAAATTTAAATTTTTTGGGAAAGGGCAAAAATTTTTTTTGTTTTAACCCTTGGAATAAAATTTAATTTTGTTTGTTAAATTATTTAACCCCGGGTTTTATAGGGGGAAATTTTAAAGAAATTTTTAATCCACCGACCCGAATTTTGCGTTAAAAAAGTGCAGTTACATAAAATGCCTTATTAATACATAGATCTATATATATTTTCATTGTGCGTCAAAAATATTTCCAGTATGCATATAAAGTATGTTGTATTCAAAATGAGATTTATACTTACAGGCCCGTCAGCTTTCTTTATTGGCGGCAATATCGGCTTCATTTCTATTGGTTTGCAATCTACCTCAATAGTAAAAGACTCCCCGCCACGTGCTTTTCTGTGCTCATATTGAACTAAAATAGAAATAGTATTGTCAATGAATGATCTTGTTTAATAAAATAAAACCAGCTTTGTCTTCTTCATATATTTATATTTTTTCTAACTGTCACAAAATGCGAGCGAATATGTATAATTCTTACCTAGCGTTGGTGTGGGAGCACGGCTAGCTATAGCCTTTCTTTTCTTTTCCCGACGTTTCTCTTTCCTTTTGGCCATCCAAGTTGAAATGAAACCAAGACAACTTGGTAGCTTCATCTTCTTTTTCTTCTTCTTCTCATTTCCCTGGTCACATTCGTTAGTAGTGGTCGCAATGTTTTCCTTTTCTGCGTTTACAACTTTATCTTTTTTATCAAGGTCTTCATTTTCCTTCAATTGAAGAGGAATTCCGAGGGAGATAGTATTACAAATGTGGTGCAGCTTACATCAATTCATTCAAAGGTTTCCAAACATGTACAATTTAAATTCAACGAAACAAATAATGTTCTTCAATGTTATCAATCCTTCACATGAAAAGAATGAAATAAATCCGGAATATCTAAGTACCAATTATAATTGACAAACAAAGCTATTCAGCAATAATCTAAAGCAAGAACGTGAACTGTCAGGTACACTAACAAAGAACAAATTAGATACACTTAATGTCATTTTGTTCTGTATCTTTACATACATATTGTTAATTTGATATAGGTTTGTGGATTGCACCTGTAAGCTTATACTTACAATCTTAGCTCAAAAAAGATATAACTCAATTAAACCCCTTTATAGGCCATTTTATTGGGAAAGTCAGAATTATTGAATATTTTCCGTGAAGTACAAAAGCATGCATGTTTCATGTGTATAAAAAATAAAATATCCCTCACATTAATGTCAAACCCCTCACGAGGACGTAGACATGTAACAAGTAGCAAATACATAATAAACATTAGATATAATAATAAAGTCAAGATATTTGCATACAAAATGTTATTCCTGTTATTAATTTATCATCAATTTAGTTAGTAATTAGTACTGTAGGCTATTGTAGTATTATGCTAAGCACAAGGTTGAAACTCGAAGTTTACCTTATTTCCCGCCTCGTTTTTCATGTTTGTACTATCTACCCCTTTATATGCTGATACATCCATTGACTCTCTAAGATTTTCCTCTTTGTCTTCTAAACTCGTACTTATATCAGCAGCCAGTTGTTCTAATTCCTGCTTTGGTGAATTTGTTAGCTTAACATCCTCCTCTTCTAAATCATCGTCGCTTGAATCGGTAAAATCGTCGCTATATTCCGCCGCTGTACCCCTCTGTAAACTCTGATCCCGTGCATGCGTAAACTGAACCTCTTTAAATGTTCTGTCTGGTACAGAACGACTTCGGGTCTGTCTTGGTCCCTTGTAAGTAAAAACTTGACTTCTTTTATTTGCCAACATAATCTGTTGTTCCATAAGTTTCTTTGTATCTGCCCTCACGGGGGGTAAAGATCCTGTACCAGCTGAGGGCTCAACTTTTATGATTCTCACCTTATGTGAGGACATTTCAGCTAATGGCAAATTGCAGCGCCCATCATGGATATCTTTCAGCCCTCATTCTGATATTGCTAGGAGACGTTGTCAAATGACGTCTTTAAGTGACGTCATCTTATTGTTGCAAAACATTCGTGACACTTTTGACGTTACGATTGACATATAAAAATATACAGAGGGTAGACCCTCTTTTCGGGTTTTTTTCTATAACTACAAGATTTATTTTCATTGAGTGGCATGAAAATAAATATTTCATGAATGGCGGTAGCCACCAATGAAATATGGTACTTTTCATATCACAAGATGAAAATATATCTTGTATTTATAGAATATAACTTCAATTTTCTGTTTATTATATACTTATTTCTCTTTTTTGACCATATAGTTCTTAAAACTTCTCATTTAATTTTGTGTATTGGCTGAATTAAGAAGAAAGTCAGGCAAGGTACAAGTGAAAATACGGAAAATATGCTTCACTGCAGTGAAAAATAAATTTTACAGTGATGATACGGAAAATGCGCATTTTATTTCATCAATATTTTTCAATATTTCATTCATAAGTATATAATAATCAGTTTTATAACATGATTTTTGGTGGTTTATAGAAATATATCCGTGAAATAAAAAAGTGATATTTCACTATTTGAAACAGTGCAAATATCAATTAAATATTGATTCACTTTTTCGAGCTTTAGCCCGTTAAGTTATTTCATTGAAATACCAGTGTGCATACTTTATTACTGGAAACCAACTTAATGTCGTGACGTCGTAAATGTATTATTATTTGGCGCGCTTTATATTTCTTTTCTTAACATTTCTTTGCATGTAATAAAAAAATGTGAAGTATAAGTCCGGAATATATTTTACCGCGTGAGCACCGAACGGTATAATTCACGAGTGGCCAGGCCACGAGTGAAATATGAACTTTTGTTGCTCACGGGGTAAAAATATGTATTTCGATCTTATACTTTACATTTTTTTTATATTTTCTCATACATTTTTAAATAAAATAACTCTGCACAACATAGTTAAGTGTGATACTTTATGTAATATTTAGTTGGTCTACGCTTTTAGTACTGTGTTCCCTAATTGTTACCGACCAGGTGCCATATTTGTTTTCATGTTCATAGCCCTTGCGTTTTATGGAAAGCCGGGTTTTGATGATTTTCGGGGTCTTCTCTTATGAAAATCAATTGGTAACGTAAGTGTAAAGTTAATTTATCAATATATTGTCCAACTTTGCCCTAATTTATCATTATTTCACTCCTAATATAGATTTTTTACTGCAATCTCGGTTATAGAAGTGTATTTTTGTACTGTTTGATATCGTCTGCAAAATGGGTAAGCGTCTACCAAAGCCGGAGTTCTTCTACATCATGTCGAGGTTATATGTCAGGTTCAAATAACACAAACAAACTCCGAGTTGTTTTTTTACTTTATTGCATAAATCGTACATAAATAGAAGTATTTGACGAGCACTGGGCTGGTCGAGCACAGGTACACAGTGACTCTACACGAATAAAATATTCTATTTGATAATATTCTATTTGTCACAATCCAAAAATAAAGGCTGTGAAAATTCGAAAACAATCTTTTTTTATTGACGCGCTTTTCTGTTCTATTTCTGTTCTGTATAACGCAAATGACATCACTTCATTTTTTTGCAGTCGTAATTTTAAAATGAGTGTAGTTTTTATACTAAATTTATTGCACGAGTTGAATAAAATCATATCTTGCGAGTTTCTGGCGTAGCCCCCTAGTATCAATTAAATTGCTGAGTGTTTGGATATTCTTTCTCTTTTGTGTCTCTGTTCTTGGTCTTCACTAGCCACATCAATCAATACAGTTACTAGTTAAAGTTTACCATTATCCCGCTAAATGAATAGACTCCATCATTTTAAGTAATATGTACTCTACCATGAATGATTTCGGGGGTAATTTCATAAACTGCACTGAACTCACTAACGAACAATGTTGTCTATGGTCAGACGACACTGTAATGGATCTTGGTCTGCATTGGTCGTATAAATAGATTTAGTCTCCGCCAACAGGCAAAGGATTAAAACGAATGACAGTTTTTCAAAGTCATAAAAAGATGTATCTTTTTAAGATACTGAATCAATACAACCAGTTTTCATGTTACCAATCCGTTTTCAAGAATAATTTAATTTGTAAATAGTTGCTTAGCAAAACATGAATATTATTTTGAGTTGTTTAGTGACTGTTTGAAGGAACAGATTAATCGGTACGTGTTTAAAATGTGTATCCCAGTCTTATTGTACTATTCTTATTTCTTATTTATTTAGTAATTAATCCGACATGTTATTAAAAATCCCATATAAAATCGTAATTTTTTGCTTCGGAGGAATGTTCTGATTTACTAAAGAAGTTATACTAGTATCTGATATCCCTTTCTTTTTACTGACAATTAATTTTCAATCTATTTTCTTCTTACAATTTATTTAGGGGATACACGAGCGAACGTGCACCCCGGGCTTCTGACATACCATACTTTGTACGGGAACATAACCGTATTGCAAAAGAGTTCCAGGCAATTCATGACTGGAGTGATGAGAGGATATTTCAAGAGACCAGGAAAATCATCTCAGCATTTATACAACACATTGTTTACGAGTAAGTGTGCATATTCTTATTAATATTCACCCATTTAATATACTTGTTTCATTTTTTATATTAATTTTACTTTGACTATGAGTTGTGTTGTAATTATCATAGGTTGTGGTAGTGATTGTTTAAGTAATGATAGTTGTAGTAGTGGTGGAGGTGAAGGTAATGGTTATGTGGTAGAGGCATTGGCTGTGGCAGCAGCATCAACATCAGTAGCCGTAGTAGAAGTAGAAGTAGTAGTAGTAGTGGTAGTAGTGGTAGTAGTAGTAGTAGTAGTAGTGGTTGTAGTAGTAGTGGTAGTAGTAGTGTAGTAGTGGTAGTAGTGGTAGTGGTGGTAGTGGTAGTAGTGGTAGTGGTATGGTAGTAGTGGTGGTAGTAGTAGTGGTGGTAGTAGTTGTGGTGGTAGTGGTGGTGGTAGTGGTGGTGGTAGTGGTAGTGGCAGTGGCAGTGGCAGTGGCAGTGGCAGTGGTAGTGGCAGTGGTAGTGGTAGTGGTAGTAGTAGTAGTAGTAGTAGTAGTAGTAGTAGTAGTAGTAGTAGTAGTAGTAGTAGTAGTAGTAGTAGTAGTAGTAGTAGTAGTAGTAGTAGTAGTGGTAGTAGTAGTAGTAGTAGTAGTAGTAGTAGTGGTGGTAGTAGTAGTGGTAGTAGTAGTGGTAGTAGTAGTGGTAGTAGTAGTGGAAGTAGTTGTAGTGGTAGTGGTGGTGGTGATGATGTTAGTAGTAGTAATAGTTGTTGTAGTGTAGGTGGTGGTAGGGGTACTTGTATTAGTGGTGAGAGTGGAAGAAGTGGTAGTAGTCGGAGTAGTTGTGGTAGTTGTAGTGGTAGTGGTGATAAAATTGAGTAGTGATTTTGGAAATGTTTAAGCGTTACTGGTGGAGGAAGACCTCAGGTGCTCCTCCGTGCATTATTTCAGGCACGAATTAACACCTGACTAGTGAGTAGATCCAACCATGTTCCGTAAGCAAGTTAAATAATATAATCCGAAGTCCCTGTTGGGATTCGAACCCACATCCTCATTAGTATTATGTATTAGTGTAGTGGGGGTAGTGCTAGTAGTGGTTATAGTAATTGTAGTGTTGTTGTTTTATTTTTATTATTTTTTTTTAATTGAATTCGAAAATACATAATTATCTTTATTAATAGTAACATATTCTCTGTTTTGTTTAAGGGAGATGTTACCTGTACTTATTGATAAAGATGTGCTCAGAGAGCATAAAGTCAACACAGAATATAAGTATGATGAAAGTACAGACGCGTCCATGACACAAGCGTTTTCCATTTGTTACAGGTATTTAAAGCCGACTGAATTCTTTATAAAAAAAAGATTATGCCGGAATAAAACGAACATATTTACCTTCTTTAGCAAAGGCAAATATGAGTTAGTTTTGTTACGTAAAACGAATGATTTAAGAGTATGTAGTGTAAGTATGAAAGTTGTGTAGAGTGTCGCAAAAGTAGAAAAATAAAAAGTAATAGTATTTCAACGTCAATACAAAATACAAAAGCGCTGATATTCATTTGTACTAATTGCCAAAAAGCAACAGAGGTAAAATAAATTTCAAGCAGTTGGATAGTGAGTACCTTTTCGAAACTAAAATGAGACATTAAAAATAGGATAAACAACAATAAGAAAACATACTTGGGCATACCGGTACTGTTAACCTAGTGGTTAAGGCGTCCGCCTTCGCATCGGGAGGTCGAAGGTTCGAGCCCCACGGGGAGCGTTAATTCAAGGATGAATGTTTCTCGTGGGACTCGTTTCGAAATGGCCGCTTCGTGAGCCGCGAGGTAGTTAAAATGAATGGTTACCGATTTCTTTCCGCCTGCATTCCAGCAGAGCATTTTTACAGTATATTTAGTAATGCACGCTAGATTGCCTAACCAGCTTAGCATTGCAACAGAGCATTTTAACAGCATTTTTACACTATATTAAGTAACGCCCTGCTAGATTGCTTCGCCAGCTTAGCATTCCAGCAGAGCATTTTAACACCATATTCAGTAATGCACTGCTAGATTGCCTATCCAGCTTAGCATTCCAGCAGAGCCTTCTTTCACTTTAGCTATGAATGCTCTGCTAGATTGCCAAGACAGCTGAGTATAGCAGCAGAGCATTTTTACACTATATTTAGGAATGCCCTGCTAGATTGAATAGCCAGCTGAGCATTCCACCAGAGCATTTTTACACTATATTTAGTACTGCCTGCTAGATTGTCCAGTCAGCTTAGCATTCCAGCAGAGCATTTTTACACTATATTTAGTAACGCCCTGCTAGATTGCCTAGCCAGCTTAGCATTCCAGCAGAGCATTTTTACACTATATTTAGTAACGCGCTGCTAGATTGCCTAGCCAGCTTAGCATTCCAGCAAAGCATTTTTTACACTTTACATGTATTTAGTTATGCCCTACTAGATTGCCTAGCCAGCTTAGCATTTCAGCAGAGCATTTTTACACTATATTTAGTAACGCGCTGCTAGATTGCCTAGCCAGCTTAGCATTCCGGCAGAGCATTTTTTACACTTTACATGTATTTAGTTATGCCCTACTAGATTGCCTAGCCAGCTTAGCATTTCAGCAGAGCATTTTTACACTATATTTAGTAACGCCCTGCTAGATTGCCAAGCCAGCTGAGCATTCCAGCAAAGCATTTTAACACTATAATTAGTAATGCACTGCTAGATTGCCTATCCAGCTGGGCGTTCCAGCAGAGCATTCTTTCACTTTAGCTATGAATGCTCTGCTAGATTGCCAAGACAGCTGAGTGTTGCAGCAGAGCATTTTTACACTATATTTAGAAATGCCCCGCTAGATGACCAAAACAGCTGAGCATTACAGCAGATCATTGACTTCCCTATATAAATTGAAATGCCTTTTGGCTTAGCTCACTGTTCACTGCAAACTTATCACATACGTTCACATCAACGTTTTTGTCATGCAGCATGAAGCTTTGCACTGGGATTTCGTCGCCGAAGCTGTTCTTCGTTTTCCACGCATACCTGGAAATGGAGTACATATAAATACTTTAAATAATTTTATGGCTGTTACCCCAACTAAATGATAAAATTGTGCCCAATAATCTATTAATGGACATAGAACATGTAAGTCATAGCTTATATCCAGGGTTTACACAATCAGTATACTTTATATCAAGTAAACTACATGTATACGAATATTAAGATCATCCACTTCCATAAATCGGTCAAAAGGTAATACGATCCCACATGTTCTTACAGATGTACGTTTACAGGTGCCAATATACCAAGGCACACACATGGAATCTATGTACATTAACTATTAGGGTAGAGCAATTCTATATCCTAATTTCTAGTCTCAAGAATTTTCAATCTCGCAATTGTCAGAATATAATGAACTCAAGAACTTTAAATAGTGCCATCTATTTGACAAGAGAATAGTCTCGGTATCTTCTTTTTGGCAGTCCTTATTGCTTTTATAAAAACAACCTACTCACAAGAACATGCTCAGATTGGTTACAGATTCTGATCATATATTTGTATGTAAAAACATACACAGTTGCAATATTGTCATTATTTTAGTTGTATCATTATAATTACCTTGGAAAAACGTAAATCCAACAACACTATATTTTACATTTTCGCCAGCTTTTAAGTAAATTACGGTAAGCATCTTTTTAAAACAACAATTTGTAGAAAATAGAGTTTGGTAGATTTTAAAATTCTATAAAAGTACATAATAATTCTAAATTTTCGCTGAATTTATAAAGGAAATCATCCAATTCACATTTCTTGTGAGTACGATTCTCTTGTCTCTTAATTTTTTAGCTCACCTATTTCAAAGTGACATGGTGAGTTTTTCTGATCGTTTTCCGTCCGGCATCCGTCCGTCCGTAATTTTTTACTTTAAACGACATCTCCTTATAAACCTCTTGGCCAAATTCATCCAAACTTCACAGGATTGTCCTTTGATGGTCAACTTTAAAAATTGTTCAAAGAATTCCATGCAGAACTCTGGTTGCCATGGCAACAAAAGAAAAAAATCTTCTTTAAAAAAACCAAAAGAGCTAGAGCTTAGATATTTAGCATGAGACATCGTCTAGTCATTGTCTACCAAGTTTGTTCAAATAATATTCCTTGGGTCAAAACTTGCCCCGCCCAGGGGGTCATTGATATTCCTTATATGTATACAGTCAAAAACTAAAAAAAAATCTTTTAAAAAACCAAAAGAGCTAGAGCTTAGATATTTAGCATGAGACATCGTGTAGTCGGTGTCTACCAAGTTTTTCAAATTAAATCCCTGGGGTCAAAAATGGCCCCGCCCCGGGGGGTCATATATATTCCTTATATGCATGTTTCCTTATATGTACATGTATATAGTAAAAACTTAAAAAACCTTCTTTTAAAAAACCCAAAGAGCTAGAGTTTAGATACTTAAAAACTTAAAATATCTTCTAATGGGTGTCTACCAAATTTTGTTGAAAGCCCTTTGGTTAAAACTGGCCCCACCCTGGGGGCCTTGGCCCCACCCTGGGGGCCTATATACAGGTGAGCGATTTCAGGGCCATCATGACCCTCTTGTTATATGGAATGACTGTGTACATGTATTATGATATGTTTGTATATACATGTACTATGTGTGAACATAGATGTGAGACATCAATAAACAATAAGTAATTGATTTGAAGTTGATTTTTCTGTTTTGATAACCGACTACCTACCATACTTGTAATCAAATCCCAAACGGGGTCTGTAAGGAAGAAAACTCTGTAATTCGGAATCTCCTACAAAACGTTTCAAAATGTCCGGTAGGGGTCTGAATTAGGAAGTTTCTACTGTATTTCCATTTTCAATATAAGTTTTCTCTTCGTTCCTTTGTGTTCGTTTTGTACTTTGAAGATAATGGTGAGATTAATGATACGCACGGCGACGATGTACCAAAGTCGCTGTTGCTTTTTTAGCTCACATGAGCATATGCTCTGGGTGAGCTATTAGGATCACTCTTCGTCTGTCGTCCGTCGTACATCGTCCGTCGTACGTCGTCCGTTGTCCGTTCACACTTTTAAAACGACATCTCCTCTGAAACCATGAGGCAGATCATAATGAAACTTCACAGGGATGTTCCTTGTGTGAAGCCTTAACAAAGTTGTTCAAAGAATTCCATTCCATGCAGAACTCTGGTTGCCATGGCAACCAAAAGAAAAAACTTTAAATATTTTGTTCTAAAAAAACCCAAAAAGCTAGAGTTTAGATATTTGGCATGAAACATCTTCTAGTGAGTGTTTACCAAGTTTGTTCAAATAAAAGCCCTGGGGTGCGTTTCATAAAGAATCTTAGGACCGATTTTAGTCGTAAGTGCAAAACTGTGATAAAACTGCGTTTCAAGAAAAGTCCTAAGTACAATTTTAAGACTAAACTTAGGACTATTCCTATGGGTGCCTCAGGGCACGCCTAACTTTTGTCTTAAGTCATAAATACAAAAACAAGTGCTTAATAAAAACATTTTAGCTCTTGTTTTATTGTCTGATATAGATATATACATAAAATGGAAGGCATATTAAGTGAAGTACCTGTAATATTAAATAAATTTTTGTCAATGTAATTATTACACAGATTAAATATGAATTATGATAAGTTTTGGTTATATGTATATGACTTAATTAAATACTTTTAAAGTAAATAAAACTTTTGTTAGAATAAACATGTTCTTTTTTGCTAACCAGTCAGTGTAATGATAGGTTTTATTAGTAAAAGAACATCCGTACCACTCATAGTATATGACTGACATTGTGACTGATACGACTTTGCCGGACTTACATTGGCGTTTTTTATTTTCAAGATTCAGTATTTTTTTTAAATTTACATAAAATTCAAACATGCTTCACATTATTCCCCAAAAAACAGATAAGGCAGTCAAGTGCATTATTAGATCTACATGATATAATTATGCACAGCATAAAAAATGGAATGATAACACATCATATGAAGTCAGATATGACGTCAATAAACCAAATGGCGTCATAAAAATAACTTCTACGCATAATAGAATTAAATTGTTTCTATTGATTATTTTGATAGAAATAATATATTATTTTTCTAATGCTAAAGTAAAATAATGCAGGGTTAATCATTCAAATGTTTTGTATAAATTACTTAGGCCTACCAACCTTAGTAATTATTACATTCCTGCGCATTTGAACTCAAAAGGCGCATTATCCTACAACAATTCACTCAAAATTCAGATTTTTTTTCCTTAATATTTAATTGTTGTATTTTTTTTAGTAAAATAGGAAACATATTTTCAAGAATCATGTCTTCC